GGTCCTGTGTCACAGACTACCATCAAAATTACAGTAGTTGCCTATCTGTCTTCAGTGGTCTGCTGCCAACCCTGCCAACCCAGCTTCTTTCCTCACCACCACCACGCTTTTTTCTCTGCTTTAAGAACTGGAATGTATCTTTTGTTTGAGAATGTGATAACTGTAACCCACATAATATCCTTAGGGATTAATAAAGCATGCTGATTCTGATTCTGATAAGATTGCTTAAAAATTCCTTTTTTCACCTAACAAGTGCAACAATCTGTGTGGAAAGTGTTGTCAATCCTTTATTGTTATTAGGGAGGCTTGCTTACACATAAAGTAAGTACTTCAAAACTGATCATGTATAAATCAGTGGATGAACAAGTTTAACATCCTGAGTAAGTCACTGAAACTGGTAACCAATAGAAAACCCCTATCCTTTAAACAGATTTTAACTTATTTTCATTTATTGTGTCTATTATTATTTTGTCACAGTTTTACATTCTTAACCGTTTAGCTTTATTTATCTATGCGTGTTTGTATTTTTCTATGTATTTATGTTTAAAAAATTTACAAAGGGAAAAAAAATCAAACCAACATTCGGCAGCCATCTTTGGTGTTTTACTGCCCCCTGCTGGGAAACCCCGTGCACATGCTAAACCTACGTCACATCCGCACAGAGTCTCCAGTTGAATTCAGTGGACGAACATGGCGGTGCGTTTGATTAATCTGCTACCATCCAACCTGAAATATGAAGTGTTTCAGCTTTCACACACCAAGTTATGACTTTGAAGCGGGTAGGTTACGTTACAATTTACTTATTTTTACATTAGTCGCGTTTTAAAGTTTTACACGCCGCGTTTCTTTTTCGTTTCTTCCAACTGGCTGTCTCACACACATGGCAGACTGAGTTTAACAACAGCCGGTGTTTCTTACTTTGGGTCCACAGGCTGAAAACATTTTACGGTGTTGTGAAAATCCTGCAGACCTTTCCAGCGAGGCTCAGCCTGCGGTGGCTCTGTCCTTTCCTGTTGTGTCTGCTAGAGAAATGTGAGGCTGTTTGAGGCCCTGCTGTGACCCATCATGGCAGGGTTATAGGTAAACCTCAGACAAAGTAAAACAGATTTTAAAGTGAGTGATTTTAGCCATTTTGGTTTTCCGTGTATCAAATAGTTGTCTCTGTACGTTTGTGTTTATTCAGGTGGCTGGATTCTGCATTAATCCACAGGGGCAGTGCACGAAGGCTGGCCGCTGCCGTCGATGAAAATGGGTCACGAGATGTGACCATGGTAATTTCTTCATCATAATCTTCCCTCTTGTAGTTGGTTTGCAGACCTTTCCAGCGAGGCTCAGCCTGCAGTTGCTCTGTCCTTTCCTGTTGTGTCTGCTAGAGAAATGTGAGGCTGTTTGAGGCCCTGCTGTGACCACTCGCTGCAGGGTTGTAGGTAAACCTCTGACAAAGTGGACAGGTTGTTTTGTTTTGTTTCTTTTAAGTGATTTATCAGTTACAAAGCAGGCATTCCTTATTTCTGTGCATTACTAATGTCCACACACAGACGGCGTAAAAGACAGAAGCAGCTTCAAGGTGCGAAAAGATGTGTGTTAAACTTTCTGCAAAGAGACTTTTGGTCCTGATGAATCTGAAACCTTCAGCATTTCTAAAAAGTTCAAAAATACTGTCAGAAGTAAAGTTAGGTAACATTTCAGGCAAAATTCCTTGCTGAAGTTTGCAGATGCTAATATTTGAAATGGATCTCAAACCACGTAAACCTCACATTTATCTTTCTCTGTGTTTACACAGGCGGCTGGCTTCTTCAGGAATGACTCATAAAGAGTAGCACATGAAGATGGGCAGCTGCCATCTTCAGTTCCAACCGCGTGGACCACGAGTTTCAAATAAGGTAATCTCTCCATCGCCATCTTCCGTCACGCATGACGTGAATGTGTAGGTGGTGTGCAGACTTTCCAGCGAGGCTCAGCCTGCAGTGGCTCTGTCCTTTCCTGTTGTGTCTGCTAGAGTAATGTGAGGCTGTTTGAGGCCCTGCTTTGACCGTTCGCTGCAGGGTTATAGGTAAACCTCCAACATTATTTTACTCTGTTTAAATCGAAGCTGAAGGCTTGTTGTAACACTCGAGCGTTGTATTTTATCTTCTTTACTGAACCTGTTTTTCTATTTTCTGCACAGGAGAGACCACAGCATGTGTCTGCTGTTGATGTCTCAATAGACGCCAAGTGGTACGTTCACCTGGACATCTCTTAACTGTAATACGTGTCATAGCAGCAGTTCTGGACTAACACAAAGGCTCTTTCATTAAATCCAGAAGTGCGAATTGTGTTAAGGTCCTCTCACAGAGGCCTCACTCAGCTCCGTTACCTACCACTAAATCCTGTGTTTACAAAAAGAATTACGTGTTTAACATCAGTAAGATATTTCTGTTAAATGCGCCATGTTTCAGCATTTAGACGTCAGGCGCAAATAAATAAACAAACTTTTATTTAGTGAACTTTTGTGTGTGTACGTTTAGTCCGGCTCAGTCAGGTTGTTGGGTGATGTCTCTGTTTGCACATAAACAGTTCTGTAAGTGAAACCTGTGCTTCTCGTCTTTTCTAGCGTGGCGGTGCTTCCAGAGAAAAGCTCTCCAGTGCAGATGGTTGTTGTTGCTCAAAGCGCCAGAGATTTAAGAGTCTGGCCTCACAGGTGAGAAAATGAATCCATGAATATCTAACATATGTTTATTTTTTAAAACCATTTTACTAAACTGTCTTTTTTTTTTTTTCCTTCTTCTTCTTAAATTTGTTCTCTGCAGATTTCATCCAGAGAGCCGGAGAACCAGTTGATCAAGCAAAATAAATAAATATTAAAATATTTTTTATTGCACTGCTTTAGTAATGTACAGGTTGACTGTCATTTGAAGCAGTTGTTGGTTAAGTTGACTTGCAGATTTTGTGGTTAAATGTGGAAAGAATCTGTGACACTAAAGAAACTAGAAAAATGTATTTGCACAGAGATAAATCGATTATAATCTGTTACACATTTAAACACATGATAGTGTTCAACCAATTGAAATGAATACTAGAGAAACATTAAAATAAAATCATGAAAATGGATCTTGTTTTATTTATTTCATTCCTTCGAGGAGCCGGAGCAGGTGACGTTGGGAAAATTATAAAACTGCTGGCTAAGGCTAAATGTAAATTCAGTAAAATTGTAATTCACATCGTCAGTAATGACACATTAGACCTGGAGTGACATGTTTAGCTGCTTGTTCTCCGTAAATTGCTGGCTGTCTGAGTGGTGTCCAAAAAACCGATGTGGGCTTTATAGATAATTGGGAAACTTTCTGGAGGAAACCTGGTCTTGTTAGGAGAGACGGCATCCATCCCACTTTGGATTTTGCTCTGCTTTCATTTCTAGAAATCTGGCCAAATTTATTAACCCTCCAAAACGTGACTATCTAGAGTTGGGACGCAGAAGCAGAGTTGCAGTCTCACACGCCTCTGCAGCTTCTCTGCTCCTGTTATCCTGCCCAAAATCCCATCCCCTTAGAGCTGGGTGGAGAACTCCAGGCCTGAAGGTCCTGTGTCCTGCAGGTTTTAGATCTCAACCTGGGTCAACACACCTGACTCAAATGGTTAGTTCATTACCAGGCCTCGGGGAGCACTTCAAGACAGGTTGAGGAGGCAACTTAACTATTTAAATGATCTGTGTTGAATTAAGGACACATTTAAAACCTGTAGGACACCTTGAGGCCTGGAGTTCCCCGCTCCTGCTTTGGACAGAAAACCCAAACAGACTAAAAACCAGCAAAAAAAAAAAGGATTTAAACACAAAATATTACAGAGACAGAAGAATACAGTAACCAAAACTGCACTAAGATGTAAAACAGTGAAATACGGATTATTAAACAGAGGTGTCTCTTCTCTGCAGAATTTGTTAAATGCACATTTATCTGTCTACTGATTGAATCTGTGATGGGTAACCAGCTTGTCTTCTTCTGGCTGCTCCCTTTAGAGGTGGCCACAGCAGATCATCTGCCTCCATCTCGCCCCGTCCCTAACATCTTTCCTCTGTCACACCAACATGTCCTCCTTCAATACATCTATTAAATCTTCTCTGAGGTCTTCCCTTTCCTCGCCTGCCTGGCAGTTTCATATTCAGCCTCTTTTTTTGATACCCTCCAGCCATAAATGGCTTGTGGGGTATTGTCAACACCGTGCTGGCCTGGGTGAAGGGACAGTTTGTGAATGCGATAACTGGAGAACGATTGGAGTTGATTTGATACCGTAGGTACATCTATTGAAAATCTTGTAGACTTCAAATCTCAGTTTTCTGATAAAGTCGTGAATGTGTTAACAAGGTGACAGGATTTTGAAACTAATACCAGAGGTGTATCTAGTAGGATGCTGAGGGGTATGATGGAGTATTAGGGACACATTAAGAAAAAAAATATTGAAAAAAGTACTATTTCAAGATAAAAAGTTAAAACGTGGGGATTCCAGTTGTTATTTGAAGACAAACTGTCATGGCTGCTAATGCCCTCTGCAAAATGTTTTGTGTAGATGCTTTGTGTAGGGGGATTAGCAGCTGTGGAGGTTTGTCCCAAAACAACTAATTCTGCCTAAATGTTTAATTCTGCATTACATCCACGTGAGGGCGCCATTGCACTACATGTAGGCACTAAAGGTTAAAGACCTGTTTGACTTTAAAGCGTGACCGTGATCTAATTGGGTTTCTCTGTTTATTTAACACTAATAAATTGATATGACAAGTTTAATGGCTTTTAACGGCCTTTACACAGCAGTGAGACATTTTTAGTCTGTGAACGAGGCGGAAATGAACCAACACCTTTTTAAAGTGTAAATAAACCTATTTTAATGTATCCCAAGAGATTTCGATTTAAAACTGGTTTATTTTTAAGCTATAATTTAATTATTGGTGGTAATAAATTATATGTTTTGCATGGTTTTCTGTGTAAAAAGTGTGTGGCGGACGTGACGTGTGAGTTTCGATTTCGTCCTGACTTCCACGGGGCTGTGGAGTAAACAAAGCCGGTGTCATGAAGACAGAGAAGTGAGAAGTAACAGTAAGTTGTGGGTCGTCAGATCCTCGGTGTCTGTCTGTTTCTGGTATCTTTGATGAAACTATGATGGAGTAATCTCAAGAATCAGCAGGAGCAGTGTTCGTAAAAAAAAAAAGTTTAGAGGGGTTTAAAAAATGAAGTTTTTGCTTTGCAGTGGCTGCACATCATACCTGCACATCTTTTATTCAGTTTTGCGGGCCAGTAATGCTAATCTGCACATGTTTTGTGTCTATGACTGACCTCAAAGCGCTACTTTCACTTTCGATTAAACTAAGTAAACGCGACAGATCCCGTGCTTTGTCTCTCTGGCACCAGAAAGTAGAAAACAAGTGAGTCTCAAGGGGTTTCCAGCTCCTTCCTGGAGATGCATAATCAGGGGAGCCTGGTTAGGCGGTTGGGGGTTCCAGATGTTTCACCAGGTGACAGGACAGCTGAAAAACATCGGTTCATTTCCTCAGACCTAAGCACGGAGGAGGGGAGGTGCTGTAGGTGTGGTGTGCCCCTCTCACCAGCCCGGACAGGCCGTCATCATAGTCCAGGACCAGAGGGTGAGTCCACCTGGAGCTCAGCTGGCCTTTAACAGGGGGTCAGGTGGAGGTGAAGGTGTTTGCTGTGGGTTGGACGTTTCTGTGTGGATAATAATAATTTCAGCCATTCAGGGTGCATTAATCTGTGGTACTTTGGCGCCCTCTGTAGGCATTAGAATGAAATGCAACAACAGTAAAATTGCCTCCGCGCTCCCGTTTTTGTCTTGGACTATGATAGAGTAGCTTTGCATGATTCACGGGTCAAAATAGCCTTTCTTTATCTGATCCTCGGTCCTCATGCAGACCCTCAGTTCATCCTCTGAAACAAGCTGTGCAGTGAATATTGTTGTTTTTACTTCAGTTTTATTTAATTTAGTTTGCAGAGTGGGTTTATTTACCAGCACTAGGTGAGAGGAATAAGGGATTTGATTATATGTTATTACAGGGAATCAGGACACTTTAACGCCCAAGTTGAGGCTATAAAATAATTTTAACATCTTTTTTTAACAGTTCCTGCTGAGTTTAGCAGACTGATGTGCTGCAGATCGATGATCAACAGTATCATTTAACCGTGAAAATGTCTGAGGTAACTTGAACATTTACTGTTATTTATGTTCTATTAGGTCAGATTTATCCTTTATGTATTCATGCTGTTGGTGCTTCTCTCCCTCTCCCTTGTCCTCAGATGGATTTCCCAGTGGAGGCAACACTACATTTGAAAGAGTTTCAAGATGAGAGAGAAGTGAAGAATATCCTCAGGTCGCATGGCTTTGAGATGCATGATCTAGGAGAAGGTCAGGTGCGTGTAAAGGGTCATTTTTCTAAGCTCAAAGAGGTAAAGGCTAAATTAGAACAGCTTCCCTTATCACAAACCAAGATGTCGCCATCCTCTTCATCCTCACCAACCCCAGTTGCATCTTCTGGAGCCATTCCCAAAAACTACAGTCACAGAGACAAGCCCCCACACGCTGCTCTATCTTCCCCCACCTCCTCCTCCTCATCAGCGCCAGGCCCTTCTCGTAGCCGTCCAGCCTCTCATGGGTACGCTGCAGGCTCGTCCCCAGACCAGCGTGGTTCCCTCAGGCACGGAGAGAAGACTTTTGTCATTGATGCAGATGTGTTCAAGTATGCTGACCGGTTCAGGAAAAAAGAAATGGACAGCATCCTGATCAGCCATGATGTGAAAATGAAAGCACAGGATTGTGGTGATATGGTCAACATCACTTTAACGGGGGGGAACTCAAAGACAGCACTGAGTAAAGTGCAGAGCCTTATGGTTTCTCTTAGCAATACACTACGCACACAGGAAGTTCCTCTGCAGGACATGTCTGATGATGGCAAAATGCTTTTAACAAAAATTAAGAAAAAAGGAAACGTCGACGGTTCGGTGCTGGTGTGCGAGATGGGCGACAGGCTTCATCTTATTGGCTCATCTCGCGAGAGCTTCTTGTTAAAGCAGAGGTTGCTGGACGGGCGTGACCAGCACGGACGCACGGGGAGAGCCTCAGCTAAAGGCTCCAGAGGAAGGAGCAGCTCCGCTCCACCGACTAATCGTAAGAGCACAGAAACAGCTGCCAACCCTGATACATCGCCCGGTGGAGCCACAGGTTACTCCCCATCGAAGCACCAAGATGATGAACAGAAAGATGCCACAACTGGGCGGGAAGTTGATGCTTTCCACAGTCGGCCAAGAGTGTGGTCTCTGTCCCGTGAAAATAAAGATGCAAAGAGGGTCAATGGTAACCCGAAAGAGAGAGAAAGTAAACCTCCACCTCAGAAGTCATCCAGGTTAAAAAACCTTTTAACATTGAATGAGATAAAGAACACATTTAAAAACATAAATAGAAATTTAAAAAAGAAATGAGAGAGAATCTCTCTTGACACAAAACAGAGCACCGCTGCTCTTCTTGTGTGTGAGTATTTAAAAGGGTCTAAATGCATGTTTTTTTTTCTTACTGAGTACCTGTGTGGTGTTACACCACTAATACTGAAACCAGGGCTCAAGCTTGAAAGGAATATGCGTTTGCCTTTTAAGGAAATGCAGCCTGGATCAGTGGTTAGCTTAGCCTAGCATAACGACTGGAGAATGACAATAAACCTGTTTGTTGTTTATTTAATCCAGACAAAACACGTGTTTTGTGGGTAGAATATGTCCTAGCCTGGTGCTGTTCCTGCAAAGAATAATTTGACATTTAAAAAAAATTAATCTACATATTCTGAAAAGAGACAGAAGGTTTTATTTTATTTTGCAGATGCCACCAGTGTGTCTGACTTGGCTCTGTTAAACTAACAATACTGAAACAGAGCTCATCATTCAAACGCCTAAAAGCATCTGAAACCAGAAGTAATAAAATGTCTGCATAAAGCATGAGACTGTGGACCTCCCCGTCACTAAAAAAACACACATCAGTTTCCTGTTTAATAATTACATACAACAACAGAGGAGGTAGAGGTGAGCCCTGCCTTCTTCCCCTTTTCTGAGACTGCTGGTCAATATGTAGTGGATGGAGCCACCCAGTGATTAGTCATTTTAACGAAACAGCTCCATCCTAACTTTTTTGTTATTATCTGAGGAGTTTCAAACCTCACTGTTACTTAAAATTAACTAAATGAATAAATAGTTTGTGTAGTGTTGTGAGCAAGCTTTCAAAATCCAAAGAAATGTGAATCAATGTTCTGTTCAAACAAGAAAAAAAGCTGTTTTCATGTTTAAGGAGCTTAAACCAAAGGACGGTTTCTGTTCATTATCTGTTGATGATTGAATTGTTTTATTGCTGCTTTTTTTACACTCAGACTTGTTAGATGATGGTGTAATCTGTCAGTCGAAGGTCAGGCCGATGGCCGGGTCAGATCTAATTATCCTCTGGTGACCCTTGAATGAAGTCGGTCGTTTATGCTGTTCAGACTTTGGAAGATTTTCCAGAGGTTCATTTGGATAAAGTCCAGACTGCTTGAAGAATGAAGGTTTGTGCCTTAAACCTATCAGTGCTGGCAGATACACCACTACCAGTACGCCTATCTTTATAATATCAGCTGTGTAGATGTACCAGTTTATCTCCGTTGTTTACCTTTAACTTTTTTAATACTTTAAGTGTAAACATTGATTTATTTCTGTTTTGTGGTGCAATATTCTGATTTTGATTCTGACACAACACTCTTCAAAAGTAGATTTTTTAAACATTTTAAACACTAAAAATAAGCTTTACATAAAAAGGATTACACACTGACATGTGCAGAGGAGCGATAATGGATATACTGGACATGCTTAATATGAAGGGGTAAAAGAGGAAGACCAGGATGTCGTGACGGAGGACATGCAGAGGGTCGGTGTGACAGAGGGGGATGATAAGGACAGGGAGGACAATGAGACTAACTGAAAATACCATGACTCTGTATTTAATAGTTAATTAAACGTTTTTATTGTCAACTCAGTTGACTGACATCTCTTAATCGTTATTTTTGATGGTCGCACCACCATTGTTTAATATTTTCACACATCAGTATTTGCTCTGGATCATAATGACTCACTGAAATGCAAAGTATGTGAATGTATAAACCAGTGAATAAAAAAAAAAGCACTGTGCACATTTTAAGGCTACGTGATGTTTATGAAATGTGGTACACCTGTGTTTTTCTTCTGGATCTTTTAGTGACTGTGTGCTCTGTGCTATCACATTTTCCCTGTAACACCAATGGAGTCAGAAAAAGATGAGGGGAAGCCAGAGCAGGAAGTGAAAAAGTCTCTGACGTTGATCTGACCTGAGAGAGGAAGTATTGATGAGGATCTAACAGGCTCACTGTAATAACTGAAAGACCAGCTGAGTGTTTGAGTGGATTTTGCTGCCATTTTGTGGTAATAAATTTAGGATTGGACACTTAAAGGAGACTAGAGGATGTCAAGAGGTAGATGAACGCCCTGCAGTAGGTAGGCGTTTTGTTTTTCGGTCAAAAAGTCCCTTTACACGTCTATTTTCCAGTAAGTGTATGTATCAAGTGTAAATCATAAAGACCACACACTGATGACTATGATTATGATTCAAAGGCTGTTTTTTTTTACGTAATAATGAAAACACATTAGTATGGTGAGAAATGTCTCCACGCAGCCTCATGTTGTGGTTTCCCTGTTTTGTTATCGGTCTGTTGCTAGGTTCAGTCACACACTGAACATGAAATCAAATACTGACATATTTTTTATTCATCAAGACAGAAAACTTAAAGATAGCCACTTTTACTTCAAGGATTAGAGTAGCCACATTACACCAATCCCATCTCAACCTCGAGTTAGTGCTTTACTGAAGCTTTCAGCTGTTTCACAGACTTCATCAAATGACTTTTGTGGGCATTTTTTATCATAAAGACTCCCCCATTCATGCTGACTTAAAGGTTAAGCAAGTTGATTCTTAGCATTAAATCTGAAAACCACAGACAACAGCTTCAGTGTCTGAAAAGTATAGAACGTGAAAAATGCATTCTTTTTATTGACCACCAGGGGGCGACAATTCTAGATGCAAAAAGATTTCCAGTTGCATAGTCTATGGGAAAACAACCCTCAACTTCCTTAATCTGTGACCACAGTACACTTTTTTGATGGATTTTCTGCTGAATTAATTAGGGAAATTAAGTGAATTATGGTCACTAGTGCTTAAAGAGCTACAGTGTTTTTGGCCTGTTTGTGATGCTGGAAAGCTTACATACAAAGTCACAGGGGCTGTATATGTTGTTTAAATGCTAAAAATAGTCAGTGCTAGTGTTTTGCTAGGTGGTTGCTATACAGTTATGATTAAAATTTTGTGGATATAAATTAGATAGTTATTGCTGAGCTACTGACAAGAAATTTAAATTAAAAAAAAACCCAGGTATTTTTTAGCCTGTTGCTAGGTGGTTGCCAGGAAGTGTAATGGTGTCATAATATACAATGCATAATTCAGCACTTGTGGATATAAATTAGATGTTACTGTCATCAAATAAAAATGATATAATGATATAATAAAATGTATTTTTTTTGTTTCCGGTGCATTGAGACTTTTTAGGTTGTTACTAAGTGTTCATAGCATGATGTCATCATTATATCTGAAATAGATAAGAACCTTAAGAGGCTAAGATGTACCTGCGCACTGAGTTTGTTAAAGTGCTGAAGGCATAGGAGGAGTTTTCAGATCCAGTTTGGTGAATTGACTGACTCTTATATAGTGCTTTTGAGCGCTTTATAGAAAGTAAAAGTACTTTATAGACAGAAACAAAGACACAGGTTAGAGATTTTGTGTCATAGCCAGAGTATTAGAGTAAAAAAGAACAATTATTCAGGACATGGTGATCAATCACAAGTCATTAGCCAGTGAGTGTGTGGATTTACCAACTTGATTCATGGCGTGACTGACTGTGGTCTGACTTCAGGATATGGCATAAAGCCCGCACCCTAAAAACATTTTTCCCAAATATGGTTTCTATCATTTAGAAGTACAAGTAGTTGTTAACACACTGATCAGGGTTCAAAAGTTCCCTTTTCTTGTAAATAGACGGGAAAGTTTAGTTAACCAGATCATGTGTATAATTCTTCTTGGATAATTGGTTGGGTAAGTGGGGATTGCCAAAATATGTCCATTTCCCAGTGTGCACGTTCTTACTTCCTCTCCTCACATTTTAATCTCTTCCACAAGAGATACAAGCGGAGGAGGCAAGGGAGGACAGGAAATTGAAGCAACAGGCATTTAACAAAATGAGACATCCTTTCCGTGAATGTCCTTAAGCACATTTAAAGGACAATATAAAGCCAGGCTTCTTTGCCCAGAGGAGTCGCCGCTTGTTGGTCACTGGAAAAAAATGCAGGTTTAAAAGCACTTCCACACTATATTAGAGCAAAATGTTTATGGTTTTTCATAAAGAGCAGCTTCTTATCCTTATCACAGACTCCATTTATCAAAGAGACAATACAGGCATGGATTTGGCTCATCATGGCAAAAACAGTCCAACTGAGTCATGCTGTGTCACTTGTCTGTGCTTGGAAAGATAAGTGAGAACTGCAGGAGCATGTTGGAAATGCAGATTGAGTTTAGACTCACTGACTCGGTGCTGAGAGGAATCCAGATGTAATCATCTGAATGTATAAGTTCATCCAAATGGGCTAAATGGGCTTCAAGGTTTGAGAAGAAATACATTTTTAGACATCTGTTCATCAAGTCTTTGGTCTTACTCTATACTTAGACACATTTAGAGGAAGTGATGTTTTTTTGTCATTTTCTACACATCACCATTTTTATCTGAACATGCTCCTAATAAAGGCTGAAGATATAATTAATCAAAGTCAACTGAAAGCCAAATACATCATTAACCACTGAGAAAATGTTGAATATACATATATATATATATATGAGACTGCCACGTTTATAAAGCGAAGCTAATGTGGAAGCGTCTGAAATACCTGCATTATTTCTGATCACCAGCAGGGGGCAATGTTTTAGTTTCAAAAGGTAACTCCACTGTATTGATTTCTGTGGAAAATTGACCTAACTGCTCACTTGATTTCAGACCCCAATAAACACTTTCCTGATTAGTTACTGTCCTCAATCTCTACTTTCAAGTCCTATTTAACAAGAACTGATGCTCTTTTTGTGAATTACAGCCCCATTTAGAGACAAACAGACAATAAAACAGGGAAACGCTTATATGCTGGGAAAGATCTGCCTTTCTAGGCTTCTCAGCCAGATTAACCATTCAACTGAGAAATCTACTTTAAGAAACAAAATTAACTTTGATTTATGTCCCTTGTTTGTTCAGTTTAATTTGTGTGTTTTTGCTACATTTTTTGATGTTTTCTTGTCAGATTGTCAGATAACGGATAAAACACCCAGTGCAGTTGCTCCATGGTGCCAAAGAAGCAGCTTAAAGTATCTTAAATAAAAGATCCAGAATACTAATGCTTGTTTTTGTTATTAGGTTTGAAACTGGTGCAGTAATAAGCCCCATGACACTAATGCTTAAAGTTGAGTGAGTGTCAAAGTGATTTTAGCTTGAGGTTCTGACTTTTGAAAAGGCTGTAAAATTAATTAGGTTGCAGTTTTTCACAGAGATTTAACACATTTTGCAGTTGAGAGAATGAAACGGATCAGGCAATGTAAAGAGTGCCAACCCCACCCCAGTGTACGCACTACAAGAGCCTGAAATTTTCACAGTATGAAGATGAGATTTTGCGTGACTTAAGTTATTGTAGAAAAAAAATTTATGATTCTGAGGGTGTGAGGTGGGAACGTTTCCTAGATTTGAGACCTTGAGTGTTCTTGAAGTTAATAGCTGCTTACCGTATGTTGATAGTGGATAAGTCTCGATAATTCTTTTCTTGATTGTCAACCTTTTATCTAAATTTAGCTCTTACGTCATGATCTTTGACTAAAAGCCAAAAATGAGGCAATGTTTAGTCAAAATGGGTTTGGAAATCTGTCTTTGTCAACATTCCTGTAGCTCTGAACTAAATCACCCATACGTACATACTAACATGCTGCTGGAAAACCTTATCTTCACCATCTACAAACTGGAAACTGGTTTGAGAGAAATCTCTGAGGAACATGATGCATTGCTGATGCAGAACTAAGAAAGGAAATGTCACGAGATAAAGACCATTTCTCTACCCCCAAATTAGTAAGGTTAACTGCTCTTGTCTGGCAGCTTCTCAAATGTGAGTTTCTGTTCCTGGAAAGTAAAGATATAAGTAAAAAAAGCACACATCTACACACATACACACACAGACACACACAGACACACAAAAAGACAAGGCTGAAAGGCAAGCGCGTTAAGCACTGTTTAGTGACAGCTAAGAAATTTGGACGACTTGTGGCAGGAAGACAGAGCCGGAGGAGGATGCAGAAGCGGTTTGAGCTTTTAAAGATAGCCTCCTCCTATTTATATAGGTCCGTGTGAGGGCACAGGCGAGTGACTGACAGCATGACGTGCTGTAGCATGTTACCACAGCAGTGACTTGACTGAACACAGCCTCAAGACCCAACCAAAGATCACGCCACGCCTACAGCGCACTCTCTACACACTACCGGGTCCCAGAAGTCGAGCATACTTCTCTTTCTTCTTCCTTGAGGTGCTTTCTGTTCCCCCGGGTTTGGTCTGTCTTTTATTTTTTTTGTGTCTAGCGAGTTCAAACAGGGATGGCGGAGCTGGAAGGCCTGGAGTTTGGGAAGTCAGACTTTGTGCTCCTGGACGAGGTCACGATGGAGCAGTTTATGGAAAATCTGAAGCTGAGGTAAGGCCTGAGATACAGTTAGAGAGGAGGAAGGGAGGGGAGGAGGAGGGTGGAAGCAGCTGGATGGTAGAGATGCAGAAGGTTATACTTCACGTGTACCGGATGGTATGTGAAGGAAAACAGCTGGGTTTTACTTTGTTTAGCCAGCTATGAAGGGATAAAAAAATAAAAGATAAATTAATGTGAATACTGACAGGATTTAACATGTGCAAGTTAAAAAAACGGTATAAATTTCATACAACAATACTGTTACTAACAGTTTGGCGTGTTGAATTTATAAGCTTGTGGCTAAGAGAGGATGTTACAAATAAAACATAAAAGGGGAAAAAAAGACCATGACTCACTTCTACCTCCACGTTCCCGCTCAGCTTCAGTGTAAATGCTTGTGGTTGATCTGTTCACCACCACACCTCGTTCACTGTCAGGGGAAACAAATTACACACATGGCAACAGACCAAACCTAAACAGTTTAATATCCTGATATAACTTTTTTCTGGTTTTGTTTTTATGACCTTTAGCGTGTAAATGCTTTCGGTCCAGACTTTTCTCGCTTCCTCAGAGACCTCTTAGAGGGGCACCGTGTCCTCATTTCAAATTGTGAGAAGTCACACAGCACTTTTTATCCAGGCCGTCGTCATCCTGAAGGATGAGCAGAGGGAGCCAAAACACCAGAATGTCAGACACTGTTAAATGAGACTTAGAGAGAATAATCACACTATATCAGCTGACGTGTGCACAGCTGATGGCTCTAGATGAACATTTTTCACATCACTCTGGCCTAGAGTGTCACCAGAAGCTTGATTAGACTTGTCTGGGGCCAAAGAACAGCTACCAAACTCATACACAGGTGACAAATCAAAGGAAAAACTTTTAATGGTCATATCTGGTGCCCAAACACCTTATCAGATTCTTCTTCTTTTTTTTTTTCTTTTGATTTTTCAGTGATCTGCAATTTGGGAATGCTACTAAGTACCATCCAGTCAGTCAGAACACTTTTACTGTATGAGCTGACATGAATAACTTGAACGGGGCATGAATTTTAGACACTGAGGTCTGCAAGGGCTGCACTCTCTCGGGGGAAGAAAGTTTGCATTTCTTGGCTGCATTTGGGAGACACTTTATAAATACTTACAGAAACTACACGATTACTGACACCTCTAAATGAAATGTAATATTAATGTAGTTTACTCAGTTAATTTGAACTGCTCATTAGTGCATAGATTAATGTATTTGACTGCATTCAAATTTTAAAAAGAATTAAGGACTAACCCTCATTCACTAATATGTAAAGTAGTTTAACCTATGCTACAGCCATACTAAGGAACATCATGGCTGGGGACTGTGGCACGACCAAAAATAGTGCAATGGTGTCCAGTGAACTTGCAGCCTCGTTGCTTTTTAAATGGTTCTTTGGAAATGAGGACCGGTTTGTGACCACTCGCTGCCAGTTGTTTGAAAGGGACGATCAATTTTAACATAGTTTCAATCCGTCTGTTCCAACACTGATGTGCTACACATAGATTTTACAGCTACTGCTAATTTCTAACTCTTGTTTGTTGTAGGCAATTCACAAAAAAAACCCCAAACAAAATTTACAACATTCAGTTGCATACATTTCGATACAGTCTGCAGTTTAATGGGGTCAAATTTCCAATTACATGCAATCTGTTTGTGATAATACAACAACTGCAACAAATAGTCAAACACTGCAAATATTTTGCTGTCTTTTACAGCTGCTGTCTTCATGCACAGACACAGGATTTAGATCAAAATGTCATATGTGCTGGGCAACCTTGTTTTAAAGTAGGTTTACCACTATATAATATATTGTAGGATTATAACCTGAATACAAACACTTTGTAACCAGTTCAGTCAGTCTGAGCTTGTGTGGAGACTTGCTCCCAGCAGGCAATCCAGCCATCACCTTGCAGTTAGTAGTGACCAATCTGGTCACCCAGAGGTTAAGTGTGCAACACCCTGTGCTTGACCCTCTGAGTTGACTTAGGTCTAAGCCACTGGTGAGTTAGACATAACCCCAACCCTAGCCCTAACCAAGAATATCTCATTTTTGCTCTCATTACACTGTTCTGCCAAAGCTTGGCTATCAAGAAACAAATAAAAACTCATTCTAACTGACACAGATTATTATTTTTTAAACAGTTTAGGGTGGTTTTAGTGTTGGAGTTACCACCCATGATGACTTAAACCTCAAAAGGTAAACCTAATTTTTAGCAGCTGTAACAAACAAATTCTCCAAATTATGAAGAAATCACGTTTTTATCTTATTTTCTTAAATAACTTTAAGAAATTTAAAAGATGCTTGTAGTAGTAGAAACAGGTTTCAGCACTTGTCTTGGAAATGCTTTTGGCCACTTTTGTCAGTTGTTTAAAAACACTATTCTAATTTCCAATGACTCTGATGACAACTAGCATGTAAAAACTGCATAATCATCAAATCTGAATGAAAACTGCTTCAAAACTATGCACAAGATAAAGTTTTTCTTCTTGAGCATTATTATTCTATCAACATCTTTGCCGTTATAAAATTCTCCAATAGATTTCAAATTCAGGATTCTCTGATAGAGCTACATATCCCTCTTGTTTCTCTGGTATAGCTAATTATTGCCTGAATACTCAGGTTGGGAAAACTTAACTGTAGACGCTTTCAAACTGACCTTAAATACATAAACCATGCACAGATAGTCCACAAACATAAAAATACAGTGGTTTTTTTGTGTAGTGCAGGAGGACATGCAGAGGGTTTGACAGAAGGGGATGAAAGAACTGTTCCTACTACGGTGACCCTAAGTGGTAACATCCAAAAGAAGAAGCAGTTTTGGTGTCTGACAGTTAGTAGCATTACTAAAATCAGGAGCACGATCGCAGATTGGAGCAGATAAAATGAAATAGATGCAATAAACTACTCATCCATCTATTTTTAATCGCTGAACCCGTTCAGGGCCTGGAGCGCATCTCTGTTGTCACAGTGCCAGAGGCAGGTGTAATGTTATGTTAACAGTCAATCGCAGCACCGATGCAGAGAGACAGATAATGTTTCACACTCACATTCACACCACTGATCAGGGAGTGGTTAACACTATGGCCTCATTGCAAAAAGATTCCTTGTTTCCTATCTGCTGGCTGGCTTTTCTCTGAAGAGTTTGTGCGTTCTTCCTGTGCTGTTGTGAGTTCTGCCCAGGTACTTAAGCTACTTCTCACATACCAAAAAATAGTTGTTTATTGGTGATTCTAAACTGGCTCTATGGGTGAACAATAAACTAACAAATTACACAACGGTTATAATAAAAGCACATGCGCAAGTTTTATTATGTTGATGGTCTTTAGGTTAAAGTTTTAGACAATTATGCAAGTGGTCTGAACTTACTTTCATATCCTGGTGGAGCCTGAAACTTAGCCTGATGCAAAGAGCCAGCACAACCACATTAAATGGAAAACACCATGAAATAAACAGGAATCATTCTTTAAGACAGATTCCAACCTCTGAGTTGAGACACAGCATTTCTGCCACATGTTGAGCAAACACAACACCTACCATCTACAAAGCTACACATGCAACACGACTGTTAGGTCTTATTCATTCTAGCAACCTGTTTAACCTCTGTGGCATGTAGTCTTAACCCCTCCCAGCTCAACAAACCCACAGTCAGATTACCCAAGGCTTGGTGACGCCCTTCGAGCTGCAAGTTTCATTTCCTGCTTTCAGCATGCAGACACTTGTGTCACTTCCTGTCAGCTGTGACATAGTGGTGCGTGATCTTCATTTTCATGTGCATTGTGAAAAAATTAATGGTAAATGCAGCTAACTTGCACCTGCATACCTGTTAACAAAAGAGTGAATAAACGACGTAATTCTATCTGACATACAGTCCAGACTGGACCACTACAGTCAAAAGGAAATTGGTAGTTAAATCTACAGTAACTGGAGAAGCAGATACAGATAGAAAATATATGACACTGGCTGAGTCAGAAAAAGTATTGAAGAAACGGGGCTGGGGTAGAGGCGGGTTGCACAGTGGCTTATTCATGCACAAAGGAGCTTAATACATGCATTTGATTTGCTAACTTGCTGTGTAGAAGGGTATAAGTAGATATGAACTAGCACTAAGATCAGCTGATCTGTGGTTGATCTTGACTCTATGGCTGAATGCTATGCTTTGTGACTTCTTTTAATCTCAAAGGTGCACAGCAGGTCTGCAGTTACTGCATTTGGAAAATCTATATCACAAATGCCATCTTTAATAACAGCAGGTGTATGTGATTGCCTTTTGTCTTGTCAGGTTTGAGAAGGGCCGAATCTACACCTACATCGGAGAAGTGGTCGTCTCCGTTAACCCATACAGACAGATGGACATTTACGGCAAAGATAACATTGAAGCGTACCGAGGCCGCGAGCTGTATGAAAACCCTCCTCACCTGTATGCAGTGTCTGATGCTGCCTATAAAGCCATGAAGAGACGGGCCAAAGACACCTGCATCGTCATATCAGGTCAGACTAACCTCACTGCTGTTTACTTTCAATAACCTCATAATAAGCTTGTAATGTCTGACTGGTGGGATTTCTGTTCAATGATGAAACCTTCTTTGGTTTCTCTGATTTTATGTTTATGAAATATTTGGAACAATCCGATGAGGAATTAGATCATTTTAACAACTTCAAAGCTACTTAAAGGGACATTAAAGAGAAAACTAAACTTTAGTCAAAATATGAACCCTCTTAAGTATGACTCTGCTTTTCTTCGTTTGTGCTTTGACAAAAATATGGAATTAAAAATGTAAAATTGATTTAGGTGCACCTTGCTAGCACCAGGGTGAACCCCTTTTTGCCTTCAGAACAGACTTAATTTTTCATGACATGGATTCATCAAGGTGCTGGCAGTATTCTTCTAAAACTTTGGTCCATGTTCACATGACATCATCACACAGTTGCTGCAGATCTGTCTGCTGCACATGATGTCATTCACCCATTGTACCACATCTCAAAGGTGATCAAGTGACTGTGGAGCAAATTAGAGTACAGTGAACTCACTTTCATGTCTATAGTAGACATGAAGAGTGAAGTATTGGAATGTGATTAACTGATTAGATACGTTAATGAATAGTTGAACAAATGCGGCTAACAAAGTGGCTAGCGAGTGTAAGTTATCAGGTTGTTATAATTTTAACTGTTTAGGATTTTTCTATTGTAAAAGTAAATGTTCAACCTAATATGAAAACATTGCACTTAGCACTTAATATCATTGTTAATTCAACAGTTAACATGATAATATGGTGAACATTTAGGTTAAAGCACCATGCTAACATTTAAAACGCAAAGCTAACTAGCTTGTATAGGTTCTCGGTCATTCAGGTCATGGTAGTCTCAGGATCTACACTACCAAAGAAAGCGACTGGACTTCTTTAAGTGTTGTGAAGGCCTTTCAACCCACTTAAAGAAGTCCAGTCGCTTTCTTTATTTTTTTCCAAGGTCCTTAGTTAACTAGCATGATGCTAATCTCAAAGTTAACTGTTATGTTGGGACATTGAGGTTAATGCTAGAGACAAAAGTTATTTAATTAATTAGGAAAATAATTAACAGTTAGGAAGCACCGATGCTGTACTTGTAACTATACCAAATAAGGTGGCTATACCAGTAGCAGTATTAATTAGTAAACTGGTTTTCTATCATTACCTGAACAGGCAGCTTGCCTAAATCTGGATTTAAAAATAATTTTTTTGAGTCCCTCTACTAAAAATCAGCAGTGACCTTTGACTGAATTGTAATCACAGTGTTCCTGGAGTTAAGTCATACACTGTTTTCAGGCTTTAGAAAAACTAGTCCTATAATGGGAGACTTTTATCACTGTTAATCACAGATCAGATCAGGATGGTAGTATTAGTATAGTTAAAACCTATACAGGTTTTTACTATAGGGATACAGAATTGTGATACAGTCAAAACCAGTGACTGTAAAATCTATTTAGGGTTAAACAGGTGACAGCATGGGACAGCGTGGTTTTACTTATATGAAGGGAAAAAAAATTACGTTGTGGTATTTTCACATACACAAATCAGCCCTGTGTTTGGTGTTGGGTTTCCGCTTTCTGCAGTTTTAATACTCAGCTAGGTATTTTTGAAAATTTAATTTATGCTCCTTTTTTGGTCAAAACCAAGATGTCATCAGGTGATGAGTCACACCATAACTTAGGTGTTTGGCTTACGTTTGATTTTTTAAGTTTATTTCTGAGTGCTTTTTGAGTCGTTTTCACCTCATTGATCAAACTGTTTTATCATTGTGTAAATATATGTGTATTCAGATACATGCCTGTTCTGTGTATGCAAGCTTTTTTTTGTATATATGTATTTTGTTGGCTGTTTTAAGAGGGGCATTTTTTCAACCTTTGCCATAAATAAAGTATACTGTATTTTACTACTTATTTCTTTCACTCTGTAGGCAGGGAGGATGTGAGACTTATTTTATGCAGACAGGAATAGATATAGGACTATGAAGGTTGTCAAACAATATGATCTGCTAGATAGTGATTATTACTGCGTTGACCAAATGTCTGTATCCTCATTCATTAGATGGCATGCTGCTTAAATACATTCTTTTGTCAGTGAGATGCCATTTTTTCACATCATGTAAATATTCTGATATTATATTCACTTCCATGCTCAAAAAGGTTGTGAAACATTTTTTGTGTTGTAGGTGAAAGTGGGGCCGGAAAAACAGAAGCCAGTAAATACATCATGCAGTACATTGCAGCAATCACAAACCCAAGCCAGAGGGCAGAGGTCGAGAGGTGAGCCCTCACATGATCATTAGGTTCATAAGTTTTATTTTAATGTGATGTTGCCATAAATAACTTGTCATTCTTCTATTCCTCTGACTGCGCTTTACCTCCCTCATGGCTGATTCTGTAAAAATCCATCATTGGTTACCACAACGTGATCAATCAGTGTGAAGAACGTGCTGCTGAAGTCCAACTGTGTGCTGGAGGCCTTTGGGAACGCCAAGACAAATCGCAACGACAACTCCAGCCGCTTCGGCAAGTACATGGACATCAACTTCAACTTCAACGGCGATCCCACCGGAGGACACATCAACAACTACCTGCTGGAGAAGGTGAGATGATGAAAGGGTTTAAACTGCAGAGAGAGGGCCTTCACAGCGAGCCGCTGCTGAAAAGTACCAAAAAGTTCTTCTCATTTAGCTTTTAAATTACATCTTTCCTGCTGAACATGAATGTTTCATGAGGTGATAACAAAGAGGTGTGAGGGAACATCCATGAATAGATGTGTCTGTGAAGCCTCTATCCTCCTGCTGCTGCGCGTTAATGAATTGCTCACCTGGGGGTACTTGATGCTGCTGTATTTATCCGCTCTGTTAAAAAACCGTCTGACACTCAGATCCAGTTTAAATGATGGTGCCATGATTTATTCTCAGAGGGCAGAAATAACCACGCTGTCTCGAAGCAGCAAAAAAAAATCCAGAGATGAAAAACTGAAACATCTAGAAATACAGAAGGTGGAGATTTGGACTTTTTCCTCCAAAACTAGGTGGTCTGGTCTTATTTGCATGGTGCACTGGGGTTGTTGCTGTCTAAAAAAACAAAAAGCAAAGACAGTTTTTCCTGGAAAAATGAATTTTTGACACCACAACAGAGACAAAAGAAAACCATCAGCACTGTGAAAATTCTTTTCTTCCACACTACTTTTGCTGTTTAACTCATTTACTAAAGCATAATAGTTTATTAGGACGATACATATGCAACTGCTTATATTTTTACTGTATGTGGACTGTACATGTGTAGCCTTCCAGTAAAAGCTCAAATGGTGTTCGGAAAAGCCATGAAAGTCCTTCTTGGAGGTAAATCTTTTCACCAGTGTTTCAGAAACATCCAGGGAAATATTAGTCTTTGATATCTAAAAATGACAGCTGACTAGCATAACATGTGATGCTATGTTCACACTGAGGCCTATCCCAGATGTGACAGGGTGAGAGGCGGAGTAAACCCTGGACAGGTGTGGGGCCAGTGTGTCGCAAGGCTAACATATAGAGACATACAAACATTTGCACGTATATTCTCATTTATGGGTAATTTAGCATTACCAACTAACTAATTAACTAATGACTTTTAACTGTGGGAGGAAACCAGAGTACTCAGAGAGAACCCACTGCAAACTCAGCCAAACTGTGGATTTGGATTTGAACCCAGGCTGCAGTGCTAACCACTGTGCCACTGGGCTGTCAATCCAGACTTAAATAAGTAGGAAAGCTATGATTATAAGGCTTGATACAGAATTTTCTTGACATTTATGTACTTGACAGGTTAAACCACAGTAAGTAGCAATAGCATCTACGTAGTGTGAGTTTGGTTTTCCTGTGGTTTGAAGTCTCATGTGAACCTGTGCACTTCATGAGTCCAGTCAGCTAACCACTCCACTCCAACTAGACTGCATCATGTCATCTCAACTGGAACAAATTAAGTTGTTGAATTTCACGCAGATCCTACACTATTTAATTACGTTCACCATATAAACATGAAATTATTTTGTTTAAAATTACAAGTTAGAATTGTGTAAATGTAACAACCACCAAGTTTAATTTTTCTGAGTGCTTAGTGTTGTTTTCACGTTTCCCTTTTGGACTGACCCACTTGATTCAGCGTCCAAAGCTTTCTTTTTTTTGTCTCAAAAACTTAAACCAATGAGCTCTGACCTTTGGGGAATTGTGTGGAGTATGTAGTAAAGGTATAATGGTATTTTTAAATTTTAAGGTTAGAAGTTGAGTTTGTCAGATAAATATTTCATTTAATGTCAGTGAACAAAAGAGAAGAAATTCTAACAAACAGACACAGATAGGCATTTATTGTCAGCTTTGCATTCAAAGTGACCAAATATATTTAGGATACATTTACTCTAATATTCAGTTAGTCTGAGAACATATATGAACATATATGGATGTTTGTGTTCTCAGTCATCCAGGTGATGGTGATCTGAGCTTGGAAAGAAAGTCCGGTTGCTTTTCTATCCAAGCTCCTTAGAAAACATGTATGGATGTATATTCCAGCTAACGCTAATTGTCTGAGGTTTGCAGATATATGGCAGTCACACAGGTCGTGTAATACAGTAGCAGAAAACTAATAGGATGTAGAGTGGTAGTTGTTAAATCATAGTAAGAAGGTCCCAGGTTTCAAATTCTTTTGGGGTTCTCTCTGTGTGCTCTTGCTTAATTAGGGAGTCTAACCTTGTCATAGGCTATTGAGCTGTCCAGGCCGTCTGCCTGCCTCTCACCTCATGACACCCGGGATAGCCCCACATGTGACCCTGAATTAAAGAAAGAGTTGGATGGAGTAGTCTTAAGGTTTTTTCCTCCTCTAAGGACTAAGTAAAGTAATGCATTATTTTTCATTATGCGACAGAATAATGTGTAACACATTTTGAGGAATGACCCTAACATTGTTATGGAAACTGCACCTAACTGAAAGTAACTTTTGAAAAAGCTTCGTCATCACAGAATAATCGTATAACACTGTAAGAGTACCTTAGGTAGCATTTTTTATTTGCTACCATAATCTGTTTTCCTGTTCAAGTCCAGGGTGGTGCACCAGCAAGGAGGTGAGAGGAACTTCCACTCGTTCTATCAGGTAAATTGCAGTCTGCACTTCTGCTGTAAAACAGTTATCGCAGTTATCACATGAACACATTCACTCCGCAGCTATAACCAGGCTGTGCAATGTAACCTCCACAAATAAATGTCACCTGCCCAGTGATGCCTGCACAGCTGTACAGTCACAATGGTGCTGAGCTGGTATATTTGCTGTGTTTTCATAGCTGCTGCGTGGAGGCTCTGATGAAATGCTGCAGTCGTTTCACCTGCAGAATGATCCTGCTGTTTACGTTTATACCAAAGAGGGAGCGGAAACTGTTGTGAGTATATCATCTTGAGAGTTTTAGTTTAAGAGTGAATAAAAGTTTGAATAACTGATATAAATTAAACAAACTGTCTGAATTTTAAAATGAATCTTTTTTTTAAATTTTTTGCATAATTTGGAAAAATATTCCCAGCAGCCCATTTGTTTTATTTTGCATTTTTATTTGATCTCTTCGCTTTCCAGACCTCCAACAATGATCGCTCAAGCCACAAAGCCGTGTTGAGCGCACTGGAAGTTATTGGCTTCTCAAAAGAAGAGATCACCTCAGTTTATCAGATCCTCGCCACCATTCTGCTTTTGGTATTTTAGAGCTCAGATTAATGACTTTTCTTTACATACATGCAAAACATAAATTGGTCAATATACTTGAAGCATCCAATGAAATAGAATGGTGTCTTTTTCAGGGCAATATGCAATTTGAGAGCGATGGTGAGAGCGTTAATATTGTGGGACAAGAAGTTGTGAACCACATTTCAGAACTGACGGCCACAGACCCGGAGAGCGTCAATAAGAGCCTCCTGTACCGCACGGTGGCCACTGGAGGAGGCGAGGTCATTGAGAAGGGGCACACAGAGCAGGACGCCTGCTTTGGACGGGATGCTTTTGCCAAGGTGCCAGAAACAGGCCCAAAATAGCTCAACAGTAAAGCTAAATGGTGTTACGGCTACTGAGGATGAATATAGATGTTTACAACATACAGTAACGTGTTTTCCTTTTATCATATTTTTTTAGCTCTGCCTTCTCTCCTACAGGCTCTCTATGAAAGGCTTTTCGGCTGGATCGTCAGCCGCATCAACAGCATCATTGAGGTGAAAGACTACGACCCAGTGCTGCATGGGAAAAACACTGTAATTGGTGTGCTGGATATCTATGGCTTTGAGATCTTTGACAACAACAGGTGGGTGTCACAACATGTGTTTTGACATCCGCCCTCTTTTCTTGTGAATACTAGTCATTGTTGATGTTGTTGCTCAAGTGTTTGTTCCGCTGTTTTCGGCCAGCTTTGAGCAGTTCTGCATCAATTATTGCAACGAGAAGCTGCAGCAGCTTTTTATTGAGCTGATCCTCAGACAGGAACAAGACGAATATCAGAGAGAAGGCATCACCTGGCAACATGTGAGGAAAACACACAAACACACAAACACAAGCACTTGCACAACAACGGCTGCGTCCATATTTGTTCTTACTCAAAGTGGGCCTGTCATTGTTTCTCTTGTATTATATATCCGGTTCCAGTGGTGGATGCTCATATGAAATATGACAAAATTTCAAATAATAAGGTCAAAAGGTCAGCTTTCAGACCACTTGATACGCTCTGAGCCAGACAGATTTCTCCCGCCTTGCCTCTGTGATTCAAATATGGAGATGTCTTTATATGGTCATCTTAAACAGATCTTGCACTGAAGCCTCACACACCTGCTGTTTAAACCTTCTGTTTGAGAGAGGCAGCCAATCAGAGGAAAGCTGGATTTCAGACAGGGGATGAAGTGGGCATCAAAACCCAGTATGAGATAAATAGCCATAATTTTACTGTGAACTATGCAAAACTACCCATCAACTCTGACTTTGAAGTGTAATGTTGTGTCTATGTGTATCTAAAGGTCAGGCTGAGAGATTAAAAGTGTATTTTGGATTCAACATCAACTTCAGTCGTTCCCGTCCCATCTCAAATTTGTGTTTTAATTATACTTTAACTTTTACATAACCCATGTAGCATTGCTGTCCCCCAAACCCAGAACAGCCCCTCACTGTTTGGTCAGTTCAAATGAGGGACTGATCTGAATGGGAAACTGAGGACACTGGACTTGTCAGTGAGAATTTTTTTTTTTTGCAAATTAGCATACCCTGGATAATCCTCAGTTCTGACTTTAATGAGGTCCATAAATTACAAATTAACTTCATGTTTTATTTATGATTTATCCACTGAAGTCTTCATCAAAGTGTTTACTGAGGACACGGACAAAGTGAGCCAAGGACCTTTTCCCCCTATGCAAGAAGTCTTTCTGCAGCCAGATGAGTCGCCCCCTGCTGGATTCTCTTAAAACTAATGCAGGTTAAAGAAGCTTGTCCAATGGCTTCACCTTTCACTTCCAGAAGCTACAGCTATCCTTCATAATGTTGATCCAAAAAGGAAACTCTTAAATCACTGATTTTCAAATTGAAAATCTTCTAATCGAGTGTTGGATTTAAAGTCTCGTGAAAAGACACGAGTTTTGTGTGAGCTTAAAACCCTGACCTGTCTGCTCACTAGTGGACACCTGGTTGCTTAGGTAACCCTCTCATGTCATTTACACACTTTCTTATGTCAATAAGCATCTTTCACTCCCATTTGTAGTGTCTTCAATCACTCACCTCAAAGTTGAGAAAAGTTACCATTTAGCTTTGCATTGCTGACTCTTATGTTGCCTTTTGTTGCCACATGTTGTTGGATTTCACTGAGATCCCATGGCCTCTGATTACGACATCACTGCTAGTCTCTTGTTGTGTTAACTCTCATTACTTGTAGTTTATTTTAACATCAGATATACAACAATTTGTGAATCTGTTTGTATGGGGGTGTCATTGCAAAATCAAGAAACTGACCGAAACCACACACTCGCTGTATGTGGACACATCTTTCACAAAAGCTCATAAACAGAACAAAATTCTCGTGCAGTAACAAGAGCAACCACTTCATTCACAAACCAATCTCTTCTTTCTTTGAACTGACAGTCGTGCTCTTTATGCGCAGATCGAATACTTCAACAACCAGATCATTGTCGACCTGGTGGAGCAGGCCCACAAAGGCATCATCTCCATTCTGGATGAGGCTTGCCTCACCGTTGGAAAAGTCACTGACACAGTCTGCTTGGACAGCATGGACACCAAACTGGCACAGCACCCCCACTACACCTCCCGCAAGGTCAGAACTAATTACTACATCTCCTCATGTGATGTAACATTTACACTACGATTCCCTTACTAGACCCGAAGGTTAGAAAATAACCTTATACTCTCTAACGGTAGCACACAATTAAAAGGGCACTCAAAGAGCACATCCTCTGCCAAAGCCAGTGCATTATTTTGCAAGTTTAGGAGAAATTTGCTTCATACTTGGAAAGATGCTTTCATAATGACTGGGTTTCATTAGCACTTCTGCCAGTGCACAATAACAAAAGTATTTGTTTTTGTGAATTATAACATGATGAGGTTATCAAGATTCTCTACAAAAGCAGAAGATCTTTAAATGTTTTTAACACAAAGTGGTTTAAAAACAGGATCTCGAACTTTCAGAATTAACTGGGAAGGAAGTGGTTTTATTTTCAACATGTTCTCATCAGACTTACAGTAAACCTAAAAGGCAAAAGAAGGAAGAAATCTGATCATTTGCCAAAATCGAAATGCTAATATTTGCCTTTTGTAGGTTAGAAGCACTGAAGTAAAGCAGTGGAAATGCTAAAACCTAAAATAAATTGAGTTTTGCTCATTTTGGGGAAGGGTGGATTGTAAACACATAAAAACAAAACCAGTAAAGCCAGAGAAGCAATTTATTGGATAAATGTTGAGACAAATCCACACTAGTCAGAATCAATAAATGAGATGAAATCTTCTTTCAGGCAGATATTAGTAAATGGAAGGCAGTGCTGAGCCTTGAAAGACTTGAAATGTCCATTTATGTGGACGTATAATTTAACCAGTCACAATATTTAATGGAATTGTTGAGCAACAGTTCTTTAGACTGTCTGAAGGTCCTTCATATGTTTTACTTTGGACATTGGCTGCTTTTTCACTCATTTCCAGTCCAGTCCTTTTACCTGACCATTTGTTTTACTGTTTGTTAAGCTACTGACACTGACTTATACATCATTCAAGGATAAAAAGGCACCTAACTCAAGGGTAAGGGGTCAACGGTCTTCAATTGGTATTGTCTTTACACAGACAACTTAGCAAAGAACCAATTTTAAAATATATCTGTGGGTGCTTATTAGCAGCCTGATGCAAAAACAGTCTATTTGCATTTCTTTATTGCATATATGAAAAATACCAAAGATGACAGTTTGACAGGCATAAAATATATTTTTGTACCAAGAGATTGATTCCCAAAGAACTATTGGTTGAAAAGTTATCATGCATAACTCAGCATGGTGTGCACTCTGTCATTAAGAAACTGAGGAAAACTAACAAGTGGAGATAAAGAGGAAGTGACAGTCCTAAAATCAAATGAACAGTATCTGAAAGTCCTGTCAGGAAATCAGACATAAAAACAGCAAAGACCTGACACAGAACCTAAGAGATGCATCTGGCCCTTCAGTTCAATCATCCACTGTTCGCTGAAGCCTCATCAGAAATAGAAGGGTGGCGCTCAAGATGGCACTCTTAAGGAAGGGAAACAGGGAGAAAAGGCAGAGGTATGCCAAATTACATCAGAGCTGGAGTGAAAATCAGTGTTAGCAGGTGTTACGGAGTGATGAGACCGGATTTGAAATTTCTGGTCCAAATTTTTATCACTGTGTACAGAGAGGGTCAACGGCCATCTGTAAAACGCGACTTAAGCTGTGTCAGGGTTTGGGGCTTTTTCTTATATACTGTGTTTGTATTCATGTCTGCATGTTTCAGTAAATCAATGATCTTGTCTCTCATTGTTCAAAATGTGAAGAAATGAGAGGCGGTTTGAGAATTTTGCACAATACTATTTTTTTTTTTATTTAAATATAGAGGAGAATAAAAACACCCATAGTTACCTAAGAGAACAGGTGCAGTTTTGAGGTTTTACCACTAGAGAGCAGAGTTTCTCCAACATTTTTCCTTTTAGGTTTGCTCCAGATATGAGATGCTTTATGAAGTGCAGGATCTCCAAAACTCCTCGTAAAGTTGAGTCTGAAGATGTCTGTAATTGAGTTAAATAGATCATATTTCACTCACATTGTCCTCTCTTGTTTCCAGCTCAGCCCCACTGACAAAAGCATGGACTTTCAGAAACACTTCCGTATTCGCCACTATGCCGGAGACGTCACGTGAGTCGCTACATTTTGCACTGTTTGTTGTCATGTTTTTCAGTCCAAGGCCTCTCTGTGGAGAAAAAATAATGACAGGCTGCTGTGCTTGAGTTCACGAGTGTAAGCCATAAAATCCTATTAAAGGAGGTCAGCTCATGGCAATGACATCATTTGGGCTCCAGTGGTCCAGTGTGACAGCTTTACTGAGCAGAATATGTAGTAAATTCCCATGTTAACCAAAATCTGTGCAATCCTGGAAAGATGTTGTCACTTTTCATATCCACTTAATGTATAATTGTATGGACAGTGGATGTTTCCACAGATGACAGCAGGGTTCAGAAGTCACATATACATATATGAGTAGGACGCTACTCTGCACATAAACAGGGCAATGTAGTGGCATGCAGAGGACACGCACACATCTGCTGGAGCTGGAAAGACATGATTTTCAACAGGATCAGTGGATATTCATGTCCAAAAACTTCCAAACCGCTAATATTTTATGTGTCAAATTTTAAATCACGTAAAGATAATTTAAATATATGTTTTACAACACAAAGAATGAATTCCATCTATTCATTTTCTTGACCACATATGTAGTTTGAAGTCACAGGAGTGCTGAAGTCTGTTCCAGCTGTCGTGTGGAGACAGAGGCGGGGTAGAGGTCATCAGTCTATCACAGGGCTAATACAGAGAGACAGACAACCGTTCATTACTGATATCGTCTTTGTTGTAGTGACAAAGGTTATTTTAGTTCACTAAAACTAAACAAAAAATCAAAACCACGTGTGAAAAATAAGATATTTTAATGAATGTTAATAAAAGGTAAGTAGAGATAGTAAAGATTTTTAAAAAGCGCGTTTTGTTTTAGTGACATTTTTGAATATAGACAGGATTGTGAGACAGGTTTGCTCATGTTTATTGAGACTGGAGGGTAAACATGACTATGAGTCAAGTGTTTGTAAGTTATGTTCTGAAAACTTGCTTATATCAGCCTTTATCACTATTGCAAAAACACTCTAAACGTAACACTGAAGCAGAAAAAAGCAGTTAAAACTGTCTGGGCTCTCCCAGGAAGAAGTTCTACTCCTCCACCTTGAAAGGAGGCAGGTATGGTGATTCAGATATATGACTAGGATGCCTTTTAGATGCCTCCTATGCGAGGCATTTTGGGCAAGTCCAACTAGGATATGGCCTTCTGGAAGACCCGGGACACTAGGGAAATATCGTTAATAATGTCAGGCTTTGAATGTCACGCTGGATGAGGTGGCCTTTAATAAGGAGGTCTGGGTATCTACACATGCCCCTGCAACCGTGACCCTGTAGTAAATGCACAGATAAATTATACTTGTAAAAGTAGGCTAAATCTAAAAATTAAAAACTTTTTAAAAAAAAGCTATAGTTACCCTGGCAGCGGCTTGCAAAAGTGTACTTTACTAAAGTCAAACAGGAGGCGTTCTGAGCTGCTAGAAAACAATTTATAGGACAGATGACATCATAAATCACATGTATGGCTATAAAACTGATATATGCATATTGAGCTTTTTAGCTTTTAGCCTGCTCTGAAAGTTGAATTTATTTTTCATTGATGTTAGTGGTTGCTTGGTTTATGACACACAGACTAAAGAAGAAACACTTTGCTCAGCTTCCTTCTCCATCACTGCTCCATTTCCTTATCGGGATTTAAACACTGCAGCGGCCAGATGATGCCCCTGGCCAGCAGTCAGCCGCCGTGGCTTTGGATCCCCACAGCTCACGTGTACTGCCCTCAATCTAGAGAGGGAAGGACATTAATATGTCAAGGGAACACGCAAGTGGAGGAGGATGAGGAGAGATGGAGCCAGCTGATGAGACAATTTCGTCTCTGTGTGATACAGCAGCAGTAATCAAAGACTACTGAAGGAGGTTTATTGAGGTTCTGTGACTCTGGGAAATCCAGGCTAACAGGATGTCAAACACACACAGAAACACAGGACAATTTCATGCATCAGCTCAGGATCGCTCTCACCCACAGTTAGCAATGGTGTTTCTATTCCCCTGAAATGCATAAAAGAAAAGGTTCTTGTAGTAGTGATGTAGTATATGAGACAAAATGTTATTATTACTGATGCAGTAATGTCCAAGTAGCTGTTCATTTTATTATTTTTTATATTAATTAGGATTGTAACTAACAAGACTCTTTTAAGAATTACTCTATTAATTTAAATTATTTCACAAATTTATGCTTTTTTTTAATGCAAACCCAAAAGAAAAAGTTTGAGTCCACTTAATCAAAATATTGTGACAGTTGGTTGATCAACATGAGTGTTAGTCAAGAACTTTTTGAAGTTCTTTTCATTGCCTGCGGGTGCTTTTTAAATGAAGATTTTGCTTACAAAGAAACATCTTACAACATGCTAACGGACTGACCGCTCACTCCCTTTCAGCTGCATCTAGCTCTCTATGTCGAGTGGTTCGTTGATCTGATTGGATGAAATTAGCCAGTTAGACAGTGATAAACAGATAGTACAGAAGTACCAGGCAACTAGGCCAACTTCACTGACCTGCCAAATGTTCCTCGTATTTAGTTTTTCACCCTTGTTTATGTCTAAAGCTAAAGCAGTGCTGTATGTTTTTGATTTTATACAAATACTTCAGTCAGAACACAGTTTTGTGTAAAATTCAACTGTCTAACTCCCTGTTAACTTCTAACGCTCATAAAACCTCCTTTTCGTCTGGACATTAGGGTTAGGGTTAGACGATGGAAAGATAAGCAGATTAATTTTGATCGCCAGACCACTGCGCTGTCAGAGAAAAAACACAAACGTAAGCTGAGTCAGAGAGGGTTAAATTATTGAATGTTACGTTTGTTTAATTGTTTAGTCATGAGCATCCTAGAAAAACCATGTCGTCAGGGTCCTGCCAGCGGTAATATGACGGGCTGGATAAGAGCGTGCGTCACAGACCTGCAGTAAGTCATGACAGATGGCTGTCCCTGTCACTACGTGTCCCCATCATCCGGCCCCTGATCACCTCAGGGCCACGACGGGGTCTCTCCAGCTGAGCTGTCACCTCTCGTATATTGCTTCCTGGTGGCACCATCCCCTGTCCCATCCCATCCCGTCTCAGTCTTTCCTTACTCTGGCTAAATATACTCTCTTCCCCCCCCCCCCCCCCCCCCCCCCCCCCTTTCTCCACTCTCACCAAACCACCAGTATCAGAAGCTTTGACCTACTTTGTTCTCTCCTCCTTTTCTCATCCTGTTTCCTCTTCTCCTGCTTCTGTTCTGCAACACTCACCTAGCTCTCATTGCTATCCGCGCTTTTAAATCCCTGCAGAATTTCAGCCTGCACATGCAGCACTTTCAGGAAAGATATACAGTTTCATATATTCCTACTCTACAGCTTTATATTGCAGGCATCTCACATCTTTGTCACCTGACTCTCCCCATATGTGCTGCCTTTCACCTTGTGCCACTCAGCGGTCTCCTTGCATCAGCCTTGACCTTCATACTTTAATATACATTCCTCTAAATCATTGTCGTGTCTCTGGAGACCGGCTGCCTTTGTCTTTGCCTGTCCTCTCCTGTCTGCTCTGTCGCAACAGCTTTCCTACGCTTGTAAATAAGTGCTGTGGCTTCTTGTTGTGGGTCCTGAACCCTCACTTTTTTTTTACACTGTCTTACTTCAGCGAGCCTCCAAGAAATCTGATCAGGTTATATTGACTTCTGAGAGCCAAGGAGACACATCTGTCATAGGCACTGATAAGTTGTTAACGAATCCTTGACCATTTCCCCTTTGACTTCTATAGGCCTGGAAGTCTCTTTGGAGCCACAGGTATCGCCCCCTGGTGGCCATTAAAATACAGACTTAAGGCACTTCCACGTTGGCATCCCTTCTAAGATCTGGAGGCTATGTCCAACTTTTACACTGTCTATTATGGAAATCTGTGACATGTTGGCCCTGAACTTAGGATGCTAGAGTATGCAGTGAAATAATTCTGTCCAGCATCAGCCTTTCCAGACTCCAAATATGGACGTTTTTGCCCTCATATGCCCCCCAAGAAACAGTGCAAATGAGACCAGACACTGGCTAATTTGCTCTGGCATTGAACTGAATATGAAGGGAAGCTAATTTAACATAAACAAGAGTATTCTGAAGCCATTGGGGAGGCCTTTATTGAAAGTAAAATTCATGTTGAATACTTTATTATTGTTAATAATTGGATAAAAATGCAGATGTTTCAGGGTTTTTTGGCTTCTAAATGGACTGGTGCTTATATAACGCTTTCATTCACTCACATTTGTGCTTTTCTATATAACATTCACACTCCAGTGAACACATCAGAGTGCAACTCAGGGTTCAGTGTCTTGTACAAGGATACTTTGGCATGGCAGGGATTGAACCACCAACCTTCCAATTAGTAGATGACCTGCCTCTGCCTTCAGAGCTACAGCCACCTCAAGTGGGGAAAGACAGAGAACGTTTGAGAACCAGTGGTTTAGCAGTTGAAGGTAAAACAAGTCCTGCAGTAATCAGGAAGTTGGTGACTGGGTCCCAGCTTGTGATAGTCAGCATACATATGTGTCCTTTAGTGAGAAACTGAACCCAAAAGTGCCCCAAACGTGTCATTGTTGTGAGTATGTTAATATGGATTATAGTCCAAAGTCCTGTAACTGGGTGATAACAGTAGAAAACCCCTATATATATAATGTAGTTTAAAAAAAATGTAATTTTAGGGGAATATTTGTATACATTTTTTGTTTTGGTGCTTTTACTGGTTTTAAAGCTTCTCATTTACAGGATATGTGCACAGTCCAATAAAAGGGATGCATTCTTTAAAGTCAGAAATGCATCCACACTGTGCATCGTATTGTTACACTGTGAATACGAGGGAGAGGTTTTTATGAGGCAATGCTTACACTACAGCAGGCTCATCCCCCGGAGCTGGACAGCTTATGTAACTGTGCCTTACAATGTGCCCGTGACCTCCCACTGATGCCTCATCAAAACCAACTGAGCAGTTTGTGGAGGGAAAAAAAAAGGCAGACAGATTAGTTTGTAGACAGTTCATTTTATCTAAACGCGAGCCATGGGGAGAATTTGACCATGTACCTAATTTGTAAATTGACTAAGCAGCATGACTCTTGCTCTAATCCTTTGCCGGAGGTCTGTGAGTCATTAGTAGCAGAGAGTGCAGTTAATGATAGCGACCCTTTGAGTGGCAGACACTTACTCTTTAAACTCTATTGCTATTTTAGTTTGACTTTTGTGTAACTTTAGCATCTTGATTGTTATTGTTCACTCCAAATACTCATCAATGGGGCCGCCCTCTCATTACTAAATAATTACTCTCATATCACCCTCTCTACATCTGTTGCAGATATTCCGTCGAGGGCTTTTTGGACAAGAACAAGGACCTGCTTTTCCAAGACTTCAAGCGCCTTATGTACAACAGGTGCCAAACACAAGCATCACTGACAGTTTTTCCCAGCATCATAATGCTCTTGACAGTTCATTAACTGGGTCATGTGTATATATGAGTTTCTTCTTCCCTCAGTCTGCACATCCCTCCTCTGCTAGCCTAGTTAATGGTGTCCTTTCTTTACTCTTTACCCCGCTTTCTCGCTTCTCATAGTGCCAATCCAGTCCTAAAAGAGATGTGGCCAGATGGACATCTGAGCATCACAGAGGTCACCAAGCGGCCTTTGACTGCTGCCACCCTGTTCAAGAACTCCATTGTGGCTTTGGTTGATAAACTGGCGTGCAAGGTTAGTAGTTTCTGCTTATGATTGACTTCCTCGTTTCTTCTGTTAACCCCAGTGGGAGGCTGTGGATGTATTTTCAGCTAATTAATGCACGGTTGATGTCCACACAGTAGTAAATGAAGAAGCATTAAAGTTGAGAAAACTGATTTCTAAACTAGTTTGTAAATATGTTAATCCATAATACTGCTGCTTTATGTTAAGATAATTATTTTAATCGCTACCACTCCGTCTACTTAGAGAGCTGCCATGAGACAGTACATGATTGATGTTAAATGGCTAAAATAATAACAGCGTTTTGCAAAAGTGTGCTGATTGGATGGTTAAGACTTTATAACGGTACCTTTTCCTACCTTGTGCTACCTTGATAGCATGTGATTGTGTAAGATAACTGCTAATAAATGTTAGTAGTTTGGTGTGAAGCCAAAATGGTAAATGCTCTAAAATGACTTGTGGCATCCATTACGGTTACAGTAAAGTATTTGCTTTTATACTGAAAATATAATGAAACTTTTAGGTTGTAGCACCAGTCAGTTCATTCAAGCCAGAATTTGACTTAGTTGGATTTCCCCATTTATTGGAAATGTACTGAGTCATTCTAAAGGGCTCGCTGAATTTGTGTGTGGTATTGTAGTGAAATGTCTTTCCTCTTAGATATCCCACAATATCTGTGGTGTTTAGAGCTCAGTCCCAATGTAGCATAGCTCTTAAAAGTCCCGTAGACCTCCTCTGGCATTAACATCAGCACAAAAACTGTGCACTGGGAGCTTCATGATATAGTTTCCATGGTCAGCTCTTGTAGGTTTAATGTGTAGGTGACCCAGTACTTTTGAACACATATACTGTAGTTGGCTGTCTCACCAGATGATATAGTTCTCTTTTTTATAGTGTAGCCATCTACTTATTAATGTAGTCTTGTTAGCTTTAGATGAGTTTAATTGTTTTTTCTAAATTATTCGAACTACCAAAATGTCACTTTATTAAAAGGCACAAACCAGTTAAGGGGGATTTGTTCAGTTTAGATTTAGCTTTAACTAAAACAAAGTGGTCATATCACCAGCTGCATATCTCATTTTATTATCTTAGCTGTGTAGTTAGATACCCAATTAGTGAGTTAGTGAGAAATTTAGTTTTTGGCTCAAACCTTGGTTAAATTACCAAAATAAAATCTCACTAAAAAAGATAGCATAAAAATGATTCTCATAATATTGTTCAGTTTAGCTTCAGCTAAAGCTAATGTAGGTAGCTAATCACAAGCTTGCATTTAATTAGCCTTTTCTTGCTTTATTTAGCTTAGCTACCTAGTTTCTGCCCAGTTACCGAGTTTCTATAAGCTTGCTAACTTTAGAAATAGGCAAAATGCCTTTTCCTCAAATCATTAGATAAGTTACTAAGATATAATTTAATTAAAAGTAAGAAAGGATATATTTGAATCAATCATTTTAGCTTTAGCTAAGCTACATGCCAGTCTTATCAGGTAAAATTTCATATGCCTTTCTTTCATTATTTAGCATTACTGTCTAGGTAGTTACCCTATTACACAGTTGCTCTAAGCTTGTTAGCTTTAGAGGATTTTAGTAGACTTCTTTCTTCCATCATGATTGGATTTAGCTACTTCCTGATTTAGCTTTGTGGAATGACTGTCTGATTAGCTTTACAGTCAGCCTATAATTCTATGGTTTGTGTTTTTTTTATGCTGTTTTCATAAACACATAACACGTTTGTTTATATAGGTTACAGATTTTAATCTAGCAAAAAACATATGAAAGATTGAGTCCAGTGGAGCATTTATTTTGGTTTTGCTTCTGTGCTTTGATTTTGTAGAACATGAATTGAAGTCAAATCAATTACTCTGGAAACCTACAGATTTGTTTATATTTCTGTGTCAGAGTTTGTGTTTAGTGCCAGCGTAGATCATCTCCCCAGTTTACTCTGCTGTCTGTACTGATGCTCTGCACCAGTTATAGGCGGTTCTGGTCCCTGTAAGTCTGCATGACTCACAGACTATTCTGAGACTCCCAATGTGTTTGTGTGATGTCTCCTTTGGATGGTGCATAATAAACATCGGAAGAGGAAGAAGAGGTGTAGCATTTACATGTATACATCGCAGTCTGTTCCTTATGGTGTCAGGGAGTAGCAGTGTTTCTAAGTTGTCCTCATCCTATCTGTCTTTTTGTGGCATTTAGAGGGTGCTGAGGAGGAGAAGGAGATGGAGGTGGTACATAAAGTATGCACCTCACCTCGCCTGGCCTCATCTCACTGACTGAAGTCTGACATTTCTTGCTGTTATTTTTGGACGGCCTGCTTCCGGGCTGCTGTAGCATCTCGTCATGATGTGGCTGAGGTGAAATGAAAGTAAACTCCCATGCCTGAAGGGTTTTTTTTGCTGTAGGTCACGTTGAAAGAGCAGACAGTTTTCTTCAGCAGCAGTACTGAAGCACCTGTGCTCAGGCTTCCCACTTCATTTCCTCTCAGCCTTCATTTTCTGACATTTTCTCAAACTGCTGCCGAGCTGAGTCGAAACTCCAGGCAAAGCCTGCACAAGGATCAGTGTTTGGTGTCAGAAAGTGCTTCGCCTTATTTGTCTTTAATGGACAGAGCGGTTAAATCAGTGAAAACACAACAGCCAGTTCTTTGACAGGATGTAGTGCATCCCCGCTATAACTGTCAAGGTTCAGGCATCCAGCCATGACCCCGCTTCATCTAAAGTGCAGCTCGGCGTGCTGCTAGCGAGTAGCTACGCGGGGCTGGGCTGTTGTGAGGCTCAGCTGCTCACTGTGGCGTTTGTTGAAACATTCTGCAAGTCTGATTAAGGTCACTGAACTCAGTTTTCCAGTTTTGCAGCTTGGCTGTGGTGCAGCTCATTGACAGTTTACAAGCTGAGTTCAGTTTATTTACTCGCACAGTGATGACCGCAGCGGTGACGCGAACACTGAGAAAAATCAAAGACCTGTTCAAGTTTGTGCAGGTGATAAAACAAGAGTGTTATGAAAAAATACATTCAGAGTATCAGTCCAAATGCAGTGTTGCTGTGTCACCAGTGATGTAACACTTTATTGAAAATGCAAACAGGCTTGTTGAAATACAGCCAAAGAAAGCTCACACCATGCCAGATGAACAACTTGTTCTATTTTGCAGGAGCCATACTATGTGCGATGTATAAAGCCCAACGAAATGAAGTCACCGGTGTTGTTTGATGACGCCCGCTGCCAGCACCAGGTGGCCTACCTTGGCCTGCTGGAGAACGTGAGGGTACGCAGGGCGGGCTTTGCCTACAGGCAGCTCTATGCTCGCTTCCTGCAGAGGTAAGACAACGTGATTACGGCCTAGTGAAGTGGTCTCTTCAGCAACGGAGTGTAACACCATGAGTAAAATGTGTTAAAAAGTTAAAAAAAAGTAACTTTTCTTACCCAAAATGTACTTTGATCTGAAACCTTAAAAAGACGGCACACATTTATGTAAATAGTACTACCTAGGGATGGGTATCGTTTAGGTTTTATCCGATACCGGTGCCAAATCGGTACTTTTGAAACGGTGCTCAAGTGCTCAAACCGGTGCTTAAAGAATGGAGAACACAAAATTGGTCCAAAAACCTCTCATGTTCAGCTGTTTTTTTGTAAAAAGATAACAATGTTAGCCTTTTCTGCAGCTATGGGGCATATATGGTATCACTCTTGGCTGGAAGCAGTGCTTAACAATGGAAAAAACACAAACTTTGTCCAAAAACCTCTCATGTTTAACTGTTTTCCACTTTTTCTTTGGTCATTTTAGCCTTTTTGGCCAGGGTGAAGGGAGTATCTGCCATCAAACAAGAAGACAGCCGCATGTAGCTATGATGATGTTTGCTAGTTCACCTTACATGCATTAATGTAATAACGTGGTTAGCCTACTCAACGTAAATTACACACGAACAACATTGAAGCTACTCATGCAGAGAAGAACGCTGCTGCTGCATCATCATCCTCATCATTTCTGCTACACTGGCAGGCTAGGGGCCAGGACTCTCCTCTTCGGTGTTTTTGGGGGATTGCTATGCGATAACAGGCAACCCACCCCAGAGACGTGCTACGGTGTGAGGTCTCGCAGCAAGCTATCAAATACGGCGCATTTCTGGCTTTTAAACAAAAAACGCTATGCGTCGCCAGTGTTTATCGGATTCGGTGTTACCTCCTTTGACAGTATCACAGTATCAGCTTAAAGCACTTGTTGCTGCTGAGTTTGCATATTTTGCTGTGAAGTACAGCCAGACTTTTGACCGCTTCGCCTTGGGCATTTTTAATCTGTAGCTCTGCTCTAAAAGAACGTACGTACCTGGGCCCGCCTACTATCCTCGGAAACGTAAAATGATTGGCTAGAAGTGTATCATCTCAGGAAAAAAAAGCACCGAAATAAAGCACCGAAATGTGCGCTGCTTTTCGGTCTGGTTACTACCGTTTATGTCAGAACCGGTACCCATCCCTAGTACTACCCAAGAGATTTAGACTATTTGCCAATTGGTGCCTGTTTTAACAAAACCTAACACGACTAAAAAGACCTCAAGTTAACATTTAAGGTGTGTCAAAAAGTTGGCTAAAAGAAAAAACACATTACCAACATTACCAGCCTGGTTTATGCATGATATGTTTTGTATTTTTTGAAGTCACTACGTGTTGGACAAGTCATTATAATGACCATAATTTAATTAGTATGACCTGAAACTAGAAAATGAGTCATTAGCCATCAGGACAGTGTTTAGAGGTCCCATCACAAGAAAGTGGAGGGCAGACTTCCACAGGACTGGACGTTTTTTTGGGAGCTAGAGGGATCGCCCCCTGCTGGTAATTAAAAAGAAAAAGTTTATGGCTTCATTTGTCAGACTATGCTCAGCATTTATACTGTGGTTGCTTTCCCTTCAGGGTTGTCTTCTTGTGTAATTCTGCACCACTGCAAGCACCCTAGCTATTTTAGGATTAAAGTCCTGTTCTGACCATCTGCTGAATCTCCTCCACAGTTTCAAAATAGCAAACCTTCAAGTTGAATTCCATTTTTGGGAAGAGGAGGAAGTAGCAGTGAGCCCAATCTGGAGACTGGAAAGCTCAAGTGTGATTGTGTTACTCATAAACTCCTGAGTTTTTCTTTAACGGCCTGTCAGCAGGTGCACAATGACACGACAGCAAATGTCAAAGTTAAAGTTACAAAATTGTCTGGGAGCAGGAAAGTGCTACATTAGAATAAGGTCTCAGCAGATGCGGCAGAAGCATGGCCATGTAAGTAGTTAAATACAGATTTTAAAATTTTTTAATGAGAGCCAATGAAAGGAAGAAAAACATGGACAATGTCAGAGTGTTATTTTGGTGTGGTCACAATGTTTTCTCCAATTTTAATCAAAGCTACACTTGACTCTAATACCATAAATTAAGATATCTGTCCTCTGATGCCTCTGGATATCACAGAAGGCTTCTGGATAAAGTCTGACCCTCGTTGAGAGTTCATGGTGCACAAAAATGTGCAAATGTCAAAATCACAGTGACAGTGAAAATTCTCTCGGTTATGCGTCTGATATTGATCCCTCAATCTGACACTTGGAAACTGCTTGGAAACTCACGTTCTCAGGTAGCAGAGTTAGTGATGTTCACTGACATCAACTGTCTCTACCCAAGTTTGAGGTCAGACTGCAAACACTTATGTGATCATCGTCTCTGATTCTTGCTGAATGTTGTTCAGGTATAAAATGACGTGCGAGTACACCTGGCCAAACCACCTGATGGCGTCAGACAGGGAAGCTGTGGAGGCCATCGTCATCCAGCACGGTTTCCAGGACGACGTTGCGTACGGCCAAACAAAGCTGTTTGTGAGAACACCGCGGTCTCTCTTCACACTGGAGCAGGAGAGAAACCACCTCATCCCCATCCTGGTGACTTTCCTGCAAAAGGTGAGGCATGAAAGTGTCACCATGCTTCACAGCTGGTTTAATGTTTAATTTTAAAGATCCATTGATGTGATAGTTTGACATCTAATTCAGCATCAGGAACAGTTCAGATGGTGTGTTGAAGTTAATAACATGCAGTGTTTTTTCCACCAGGCTTCAAAGTATCAGAATAGAAACTGCAGTTTGTCTCAGGCTCATGAATATGTGGCTCTTGGTTATGTTCGACTGAAATTCATCTGCCAGCTTGAATCCTAATTTCCTGTAACAATAATTGGGATAATTAATGCGATCCAGAGCGCAGCTGCATTAAAGTCAATTACTTCGCTTGCTCAATGAAATACCCTTCTCTTTTCTCTTTCCTCTGACCTACTTTATAACTGCAGAGAAATCTGGAACTCTAACCGGAGGAAAAGTTTGTCTTAAGTGCTGTGGGATGCAGAGGCAATAATTTTCCTCTTGTTTTGTCTCTTTCACACGCCCCTTTGTTGTTGTTTTTTAACCTGACCCACAGGTGTGGCGCGGGACTCTAGCTCGTGCAAGGTGCCGGCGGATGAGAGCCATCTATGCCATCATGGGCTGCTATAAGCGCTACAAGGTCAAGGCACACTTCTGGGAGGTGGAGCGGAGGTTTGCTAATGTGCGAACTATGGCCGACTATGGGAAGAGCTTGGAGTGGCCGACGCCGCCTGCAGCACTGTCGCAGTTTCACAGCATCACAGTCATGCTGCATCGCAGGTCAGAGCACATAAAAATATGCAACTCTGTGTGGTCTGTGAAATACTAAGGATATTTTACATTACATAGACTGACATATTATGCTGTGTCATTATATATTTAATAAAAGCTCAGCCAAAAGAAGCAGTGTCCATCCTTACTGCATCCATGGGAACCCTACCAACATGATGCACAGTCACACAGTTTTAAACTTGGGTGTTATCAAATCGTTGTCTCTGGGGATTGACTTGATTTTGGAGCCAAGCTGAAGTGGCAGTTTTAGGAAACGCCGCTTTGGGGATTTTCATGTTGGCTTCATTGTTCATCCCCAGAGGTTGCTGCTTAGATGTGAAACACTTTAGAGACTTTATTACAGATGAAACAAAAGAGATGTAACTTTCGAATTAGTGGATTAGTTTTAGAGGTTAGTAAAGTATTAACGTTTAAAGATATTGAGAAACAGCCCTTCTACTTGTTTACAGCCTTTTTGTTAAGCTAAGCGAAGTGGCTGCTGGCTAAAGCCTGAATTCACAGATGCGAGAGTGATTCATCTGTCTGTTCTTTGCCGTTCTTTTGATCCACTTCAGACTTGGTGGATCTTTTCTGGGGTTTGAGGAAGAACAGCCCCAAGTTTGAAGTTGTTTGGATAAGTGGTTCAATATTTTAGCTGGAATTTATTCTCTGTTAGCAGTGTTTCCCATAAAGTGACTGCTGCCCGCCCGACTGCACATAGAGTTATACATATTCAAGCCTCTTAACCCTAGGTTTAACTATCTGAACTAAGTGCCAAACCCTAACCTAATCCTAATTCTATCCATTAGGGTTAAAGTCTTACTCCTTCTTCTTCATCCTTACCTCTTTATCCTCACTTCGTCTCCCTCACCCCCACCACTCTCTCCACCTCTTCTCTACCCTGCCTGCTTTCTTCCTCCGTCTCTTTATCTTAATTTTGTAAAGTGTGCAAAAATCTGGTTTCTTTTTTAAGCACATGTGTTGAAATCAACTCATCTCTTAAGGTCACTAAATTCTCAGTAGCTGCAGAATAAGTCGAGTCAGTGTTTGGCTGTGTGATTGAGTGAGTTTTGGATCACTGATTTTTATCCTTTATCTGACTCTAACTTAAAGCTGTTCCTCCAACTTTTCTTTCTTTGGGCCTTTGAAGTAATATCCACCCTCATGGCATGCTGTCTCGTTCTCATCCCTCGGTGTCAGGTGGTGGGCGAGGCAGATCGTGAAAAACATCCCGCCGTCTGACATGCTGGAAGTTCGGGCCAAAGTGGCAGCTATGACGGCTCTGAGCGGAGAGAGAAAAGACTGGGGAGTCAGCCGAGCCTGGGAGAGGGACTACCTGGCAAATGTAAGAATCACAGTAGTAACAAGATAAATCCTGGGTACCTTTGTTGTTTCTCAGCACATCGTGTTCGAATAGGTCGTAAAATTATTTGTTTTGGGATTTATTTTGACCTCTGGAAGACACTTGATTTATTTTACCTTTATTTAAGCAAGAAAATTGGACACTTGAGATATGAAATCTTTCACAAATTTGTGAGTATCCACCTTAATATGCAAAGATGAGGCAACACACGCACACACACATACATGGAGATTGGTGCTCCTAAAGTTTGCTTAAAAGATGCTGACTTTTCTGCAGTCTCAAATGAGTACAGCTGTGGAGAATACCTGGGTGCAAGCGATCAGTGAAACACAATTATGGGAGGCAAAACTGAATAATAAACACACAAGACAAACTAGCCCTTTGAACATGAGAACACCTAACATAGAGATGGATACTTAAGACACGAGAAACACACGCAGGGCAGAATAAATTGAAACAGTGAATAAAAGCAAACTATAACCACCAAATAAACTAGATCATAAAACTAAAACTAAGAAACCAGCCATTATGTCTGCGATTATTGTGATTCAGACAGCACACCTAAATCTCAGCTAGAAAAGCAGAACTACTTTTGAAATCACCTGAAATGATATTGCAATGCATTTTATTGAAAAGCTGGAGTTGACTTTTCTGCCATTTTTACACTTTCCACTCCAGATTTAAAAAACAAACAAACCCAAAAAAACAGTAGAAATAAGTCTCAGTGGCTTCCCTGGAAAGGCAGAACATGATTTCAAAATTAAAAAAAAACAAAAAACTTGTTTCTTTATATATATTTTAACATATCAATGTTAAAATAGTGACATAGATTCTCAAACACTGCTGAACTAATAAAAACATTTTGTAGTTTTATAGTTTTCCGCTTGTTTTTTCTGCCTCTTTAATTTCCAAAACAGAAGAATTTCTTAAGCAGTTGTCATTTCACATGACTCCCATTTAGTTAGTTCAGCTGGATATTTTGCAGCCCACTGGCAGGAAATTTTCACACAAATTCATCACAGTAATGAAAAAAGACTTGAACAATCAGCTGTGTATAGGATCATCTTTTGTTGTGAATGTATACTGTGCATGTGATGTGCCTTGGGCTGTGACCAAAAGAGGGCTGTTCATGTGAACACAGCCCTTTATTGATGAATACTACAGTTGCTTCATTTACCAGCTAATATGAGGTTGTTTTCTGACTTTAAAGATGCCTTCGGGGAGCGTGAGCGTGACTGCCGCAGAGTCCTGAGACATTCCCTTTGCTAGTTTGTCAGCCGGCCCCTGACTTGCTGGCCTCCTTCAGGGATCTAAGTTCATGTGATTGCATTTAATTCCACAGTGACCTGTAGATTAGTGCATGCATCGTGGCATTCAGTCAGGCTGAATCCTTACTGTGATTGTAAGTTCACCGAGTTCAGGGGGTTCATGTCCAGTCTTAAGCTTCAACAAAGGAAAATCTTCAGGTAATCAACACTAAGACCTGGAAAAAGTGCCTGAACCTGCCCCGTTTCATTTTACTTAAATGAACATATTTAGACAGTGATTTTCCCATTCAGCAAAAATGGTGGCTACATTCATCTTTTATATATAGTCAGAGATGTTGAATCTTAGCTGTTGGTAGTAATTTGGAATCACACTAGCATATCAGTTCACTCAGTAGCACTCAGATTTACCTCTGGAACCAGGGAAGCTGGTACAAGTTTAAAAACTAAGAGGTTTTTTGGATACTTACCGTTTCCAAATAACACCAAACGATAAGCCATAATATAAGAGTACACCAGTATGCATTCCTGTGAAAAATATATCCTCTGTCTTCTGACATGTTTTGATTACACCATCAGACTACAGAGAGAAGTGTCACCTTGCCTCCATCACCTTATGAAACACCTTCACACCAATCAACAGGCAGTCATGGAGCCTCTTGGTTGGCATCCGGTGCTCTTTTGAAGTAGGCCTAGTTTCTCTCAGAGGGGATATTTGGTTTCCAAGTGGCTCTTTAGGCTTTCTTGGCGTCATGTTAGCACACATTCAGATTAAGGGATGTTGACATCTCCAGGCAAATGAAGCCATTAGGCAGTTCAACTTTCCTCTATGCTCCCTACTGATTTTTTTTCTCTTTTCTTTAGTTGGCGAATAGGCTGGACTGGTAGTTAGTTGTGGTTTGATTCACACAAGAAAGTGAGCTGTTTTCCCCTTTGTATTCTCCCTGCTGTCAGTCAGAGCCTTTGATGTGTCATGCTGTCATAATACTCCTCAAACAGACTGAGGTTCACTTTGATAGAAGAGATTTTTTAAGGGAAACGAGTGTGCAGAAAGTGATACAGAGACTGAATTTATTTATATAGTTTGTCTGCAGTTATTTACTGCAAAATGAATGTACGATGGTCACACCTGGATTTCTTCAGTGCACACAGTCTGGGAACCACAGCTTTAAACCGTACACTGTATATATTAAAGCATGTAAAATAGATTGTAGGAGAAATGTTTAAAAAATGACCGTGATAGCTGCACTTTATAGGAGGAAGACTATAACAGAGTGTTAGATTTGCCACCAAATGTATTTCTCATCAGCTTTGGTCCCTCTCAAACGGCACGTCAGGCTCCGTGTCTGGTAACAGCAGCCAGGGGCCTTGAGCTTTGATCTGCTGCTTATGGAATTAAAGCGATAAAAAGGCTTAAAAGAGGCTGGGAGAGGTCACCTGGAGTTTTGTGACTAACAGTGAAGTGCATTCCTATTCCATCTGTACTGATGATGGTGGCCTCAACCGACCTCCTGAAATAATACTGGTCTTTCATTTCTGCAGGCCCGAGACTGCCCTCAGACCAGCGCCAGCTTCATCCGAATTTCCAAGGAGCTGAAGAACAAAGACGAGTACAGTCAGGTCCTCTTCTCGAGCTTCTGTAGGAAGGTACAGTATGTGAGGAAAGAACACGGGGAAATGGAAATGTCTGTTTTGTAGCCACAAGGAGTTTCTTTCTTCTGCTTCTTCCTTTTAGCTTTGGGATGTTTTTCTGGTTCGATGTGTTTCCCATTCCACCCCCTCATGCTTCCTCTCTTTTGTAACAGCTCATCTTTCAATATTTCATGTTCAAACCAGTGAACACAGCCTTCTCAGGAAGTAATCTGAGGATTAATCATAAAAAGGAACTGAACTATGAATTCAGTCCTCAAGTTCCCTTAACCTGAATGAAGCGCTGCTTATTATTTTACCTCATGCTGAACCTCTTATCATCTCCCTGAGGATAATAATGGCCATACTTTCCATATCAGGGACTGAACATTGAGGGCTTCGCCTAAGTTATGAGTAGAGCTTAGTTATATTTGAAGTTACGTAGCCTTTGATACAGTGAACTGAAGCAACCCCCGACTCACAGACCCACCACAGTCTTTTTTATGTTTTCTTGTGTGTTGCTTCTTTGCTGCTTTACAAGGAAAACCTGTTTTTGAAATGAAATAACCCAAAAGATCCTGCAAGAGGCATGAAGGGCTCTTCACAGAAAATAGAAAATGAACAAACATGCTGAAGCTTTTTCTTTCCCCTGTTCTGCTTTCTCAGGTGAACAGGTTCAACAAGAGCACAGACCGAGGCCTGCTCATCACAGACAAGTACATCTACAAATTAGAGCCAAAGAAACAGTATAAGGTTCTGAAGAAGCTTCCTTTAGACTCAGTAAGTACTCACGTGGGAGAGCATACACTCTGAATGCAAGCTCGCACACAGACTCATTTGCTAGCTTCCCTCCTAAATCCCTTCTCTTATCTTCACTCCTGCTGTCTTTATCCAATATTTCCAGCATTGCAAACGTACCCTGTTGGGATCTGAGCATATGTTACTCATTTCCACAGCCTGATTACATTATAACTCTCACCCTTAAACCCCAGACTGATTAAACATAGTGTCCCCAACAATGCTCATAGTTGCAGGCACTGACTTTTTACCATAAGACCATATGATGATTTTACAGTTTTTAATACAATAATAAATACTTTCATTTTTCATTAATTGCTTCAGTCAGTACTAAATTCACTTTACTGTCCTTATACTTATTTTGTGCTTTCATGTGGTCTCAGAGTGACTGAATGTCTGCTCAACTCTTTTGGTGCAGAATTTGCAGAGTTATTCATCATAATACATTTCTGATAAATAGTACAAACACATATATTGCATATAATGTTTGTGGCTGAGAATTAATTGTAACTGGACGGCTCATTGCTGCACTGGTTTGAATCCACAGGCCATCATGTTCTCTCCCTTCTCTCTCATTACTTCCTCCTGTAGTCCAAAGACATGCACGTTAGGGCAAGGGTCTCCAACTCCAGGCCTCAAGGTTCGGTGTCCTGCAGGTTTTAGACATTACCCTCGGTCAACACACCTGAATCAAATGATTAGTTCATTACCAGGCCTCTGGAGAACTTCAAGACATGTTGAGGAGGTAATTTAACCATTTAAATCAAATGTGTTGAATGACACATCTAAAACCTGCAGGATACCAGCCCTTGAGGCTGAGAGTTGGACGCTCCTGTGTTAGGGTAATTGGGGATTGTAATTTGCCACAGGTGTCAAGGCCTCGTGGCCTGTGACAGATCACTCCAGCACCCCTGCAGACGTGAACTAGATAAACAGTTTTTAAAATGGATTGATGGATTGTAACTGTGGCTTTCCAGCTGGAGGAGCCTTGACTAGACAGAACATTTTGATATTAGCATGAAAATTACCAAGATTTCACATTATTATGTAAAGGCACATAAAAAGTAGATTCCCAAGTCAGGAACTGTAACCATCCAAATATCACTTAAGTGGAACATTACAGCATACATGAAAGCACTGAAGAAACATATTATTGTACTTGTGTTCAGCAAGTCAGTAAAATGTGCGGCAATAAATAAGTCCAGAAATCATGCCGCCCATAAGCAAGTACAAATCAGAAGGCTGATGTCAAAATGAGGACAGAAAGCAAGGGAGACGCAACTACTGCAAAAACATGCTTTTTCAGCCAAGCTCACTGGACCCAGGTGTAGCTCATGCCGTTAGTTAGTCTCCTGTTAGCTCCTGAAGAACGAAGCACAGAACAAAACCAAGACAAATCACAGAGGAAACTCACAAATTAATTTGACACAATATATCTCTTTTCATAACCATTTAGTGACCAAATCATTTAACAATCAGACTGCTTTCTTTGTTACAAAACAGAGAAAGTGGACTACTGTTAGATTAAGGTTTGAAAACCAGGAGATTTATGTAGATTTATTTTAAAGTCTTGTCTTCAGCGTGTCTTTGCACTAAGGAGCACTGGCCAACCGAGTAAGAGATTAGCTGGACACGGAGCCCTGGAATTGTGCGTAAGGTTTCCAGGTCTGCAACTGGCAACTTGGAAAATTTTTCTTTGGTGGTAGAAAATCACCAAAGCAGGAATATTGACAGCTGGCAGATTTATCTCGACTTTTTTCAGCTGAGGAAATAACATGAATATTTTGACCATGTTTGCTGAGCAAAGCCTTCAAGAAAAGATGTAAATAATTGTGGCGTTTCCTAGTTTATGAAACCAGTCTTTTAACTTAATTCAGGCACTTTTTTCTTTTTACACCTTAGACGTAGGTTTATAAAAGGTTTTGTCCTTAAAGTGTGGTACAAATACAAAAATAACAGCTGTTATGAATGTGGTCAGACTTTTTGTGCTTTATTCTGGCTGCTCTTTATTTCCTACTCTGTCCCCTCAGTTGTGTACACGCACACACACAAACACACACACACCTACTCATCTTCCGTCCTGTTTGACCCAGGTCACAGCCATCCATCAACAAGTACAAGAGCAATAAGAGGACTCACACTGAGAGAACACTGTCTTCCTTTGGCTCTCAGGGCTGATGACCTTTAAGAATTGTGAGGTTGTTGATCAGTCAGTCAGTTTTTGTGTGCGTGTTTGTGTGTGTACGTTAGGTTTTGTTGTCAACATGTGACGCCGTGGTCATGCTTGGGAGGCAGCTGCCAAGCTTAGCTTTAGATTTTCTGCCATATGGGGCGAACCTCAGCTGAGAAACTGGATCAGGAATCTCAAAGGGCTGCTGGCTCTGCAGGGCAAGAGGCTGAAAGTGTTTAATATGATGCTGAAGTTCTCTTGAAATAACAGAAATCATAATTTTCTTCTACAGCTTGATGCATGAACCTTGGTGTTGGGAAAACATACAGAAAGTGAAGGGTTGACTAAAGAATTTAACATGTGGAACACTGGGTCTCTTTTTATATCTAAAAAAAAAGGGGGGGGGGTGGGGGGTGGTATTGTTTCAGGTAGAGGCATTTAGCCAAACCTCTATGGTGCTGTGATGGTGCATTTAATGCTAGAAAAACCTTCTTGGACATTTGGCATTTACCTCTGTCTCGGGTAAAAGTATGTTTTTATCACCACACAGCCTTAAGGCGTCTTAAAGCAGGGCTGTAAGCATGCAGTCAAGATTGGAGGAGACCAACTCTAGAACTGTTGACCAAGCAGCTTAATGTCTTTGCTCTCTCATACATATTACATATATTTAAGAGAATTAAATGTATGTAATTGTCTTTACAGTGTCTGCATCTTTAAATGCATGGCGCTTCCACCATGTGATCAGCTGATTAGTGACTTAATGAGCAGCTTAACTGTTGTACCTAATAAAGTGGCTGTGTGTGTTTGTAATAGCTAGTAGCACACCTTCTTTTTTGGCCAGAAAAACTACTTCTGAACTAAAACATTGAGATGTATGTAATAGTTTGACTAGTTTATGATATTTCCTATTTTTTTCTTACATTAGTTCCTCACTGAGGTAAATTCATAGAGAATCTGAGACTAAGATGGATTCCAACAAAAGTTGGAGATTGCCAAGTGCCATCAGACTTTGAGGTGACTCAGGTACTGAATGCAAAATAGCTTTCACTGAGAACACCTTCGTGAGATGTAATGAGTCAGCACAGCTGGACGTCCAGCAGTGATAGAAGAGAGGTGGAGAGAGAGAGCGCTTGCATGCCAGAGGGTTAAAAACTATCATTATGCAGCAGCGGAGTGGCTAAAGATAGCTGGTGCCATTAGACTCTGGTGCTCAGAATGAGGAATATGAGTCTTATCCAGGTCAGAACCTCAGAATACAGCATTAAAGAAGCAGTGCATCTCTGACTCTCACCCAGGTCACAGCTGAGGTCAAAACCTGAAGCAAAACACGAGCTCTGTACCTCTGACTGGTCAAATTCAGAAAGCCTGACTTTAACTGGCACTTATGTTTACTCAGTCTTCAAAAAATGTTGACAAAATTAAAAACTAAGCATTCACTTTGCATAAACATATTGTAAGCTTAAATAGTTACTGTTAAAACATTTAGTCATTTAAATAACTGATAGAAAGTTAATGGACGTTTCTCACACTGGAGTATTTCCAGTCATTAAACTTTTGATTTGTTTATAAGATAAACTATGTGAAAAATGCTCCTTTTATTTAGAACAGTCAAATGTTCAAAGTAGAAATCAAAGTGAAATTAAAAGACTGCTAGGAAGGAATACTAAAAACAATAGGAACACTGGAAAACTTTACACAACAACACAATCTCACAGCAACAGAGGCAGGCAAATAGTGAACAAGTGGGATTAATCAAGGTGGAGCAGACGATGACCAATGAGGAGGGACAAGGAAAAGGAAGAAATAAAAATGGAAGGAATACACAAGGAGCAGTGATTTCAAATTAAAACAGGAAAGAGCGTGATCTTTGAGGTATAGAAGTCTCCCATAGATACTAATTTACAATTTATTGGGGGACATGTCTTGCTTTTTTGTATTATCTCTCTTTTGAGTCAGTCTTGATTGAATTTAGGTTCGATTTATCTACCATGAAGTCTTCTCATAGGTCAGGGACCTCAAACTCATTTTATACTGCAGGCCACACGCAGCCCGCTTTGATTTTCTGTGGGCTGAACCCGTAAAACTCCAATTTCTGTTGGTGTAAAAAGTTTAACTACAGATTTAATCAAGGCGATACGACAAAAAAGTGCAATATTCAACATTATTTCTCAGTTTTCCTACATGGTAAAGAAATGCTGCTGTTGTAAATGAAAGAAATCAGTCAGCATGAGTCTTTGAGCTTCAATTGTAAGGAGAAATGTGTAAAATGACAGATATCTATCATTTTATTACTTGTGAATGAGGGAGATTTTTATGGGAAGGAAAAGCTGTAAAAGTAGCAAAAAAAGACTTAAAAGTCCAAAATTCCTGCCCTCCTTCACATTTTCCAAAGCCATCCAGCAGGCTGGATTGGGGTCTTTGCCAGGTCAATTCTGGCCCACAGGCCTTATGTTTGACACCCCTAGATTATGTTCCAGTTTAAACCTTAATCATAAGAATAAAGCAGATAATCAAGGCAAAGTATAAAAACTTAAAACAGCCCCTAATGTCTAATGCTGGGCAGTTGCATTTATGACGTTTATATTGTAATTATGAATTGGATATTTTTAGATTTTTTTTGTTGGGTTGACAGAGTGAGCACCTAAAAGATCTGGTCTTGTACTGTGCAGCCAAAGTTTGTTTGTCTATTTAGTGAAACTTTAAAGACTGAAGTAAACGATTAACTGAAAAGATCATAAATGAGCCTCAAATCAAATCCATCTTGTGTTATTTTAGAGCTGTAATTTAAGCACTGCTACTGCAAAGAGAAGTGCTGCAGATACAATAGAACAAAGTAAAGTAATGTAATTTATAAAATATGTTTGGAACACAGTAAAAAGTATCACGCTGCTAGATCAGCTGTGCAGCTTCCCCTTCACTGAAGGGCAGGTTTAACCAGCGTTTGTCGGTGCTGGGACATCCTGCACATTGTCGTCCCTGCTGGATTAACCTGTATGGCTGGAGGCCGTAAGAGGCTTAGTCCACTCTGTCCTTCCATTTGCTTTCTAAAAACCCATGACACTTTCTCTGTCTGCATGTCTCCTCTGGTTTTGTCTTTGACCTATATGGGTATATTTCTTTCCTCTCTCATAGTCCTTCTTTCATTTGCACCCTGCTGCCTTCCTCTCCCTCCGTTGCGGTAAATCAGTACATTAATTCCAACTGGGTCACAGCTCATGACTTCCCCTTCACTGCACCCACACACGTGCACCTCCAGCTTACATATTCTGAGCAGAAATAATCCGCCGGCTTCATTTATGGCATTGAATTTTTTTGATCCAAGAAATGCTGCGCTGTACTGTATTAAACTCACAGGTTTTGTACATTGATGTGATAATCCCTGACAATTTTATACAAATGAATCCCCAATGCTGCAATCTGTGTCGATGAATATTAAAGGTCACTCAGCCTATAGGCAGGACATGCATGAGGCTTTAGAGGAAGGAGAATTCTCACCTTTGGTCTTTTGCTAAAATAAAAATAGCATTGCAGCATTTATGAAATACTCCTTTGGAGGTAAAGGGTATGGCGTTCCAATGCCGCCATAATCAGAAAAAATAACAAGCAATTTATCAATAAAAGCACCAAAATTATTAAAATCTATGTATTCATTTATTTATAAGACCCTCACTAAAGACTATTTATCTGTCAGTGTATCATATTACATGAAAAGTCATACAAAGCAAGAGCTCAAGCTTGGATCTGGCTGAGATCTTTCTTTAACGTGTTCTTTCTCCGCAGTTTACCGGAGTGAGCGTGACCACCGGGGTCGACCAGATGGTGGCGTTACACACGTCCTCCCAGGATGACGTCCTGCTGTGCCTGCAGCGAGGCGAGCTGTGCCCCAACCAGGACAGAGTGGGTGAACTGGTGGGAGCGATTGTGGACCACTTCACACGGTCAGTTACAGAGATTTTTTTTTCTTTGTCTTTTATCCTGCACTCATTTATACTTATGTTGTCAGCCTGTAATGCACATTACCTTCAGGGTAAAAGTACTCAATACTAGCCTGCAGATAATTGCAAGTATTTGCTCCTAAAGATGCCTGAAATGATAATAAACCGCCAAGTTCTGTGGCCTCGGTCATGGTATCTTAAAATGGATTATTCAGTTTGAAATCTGATTCTTTGTTCTCTACAGCTATGTGCGATTACGTTACCTTACATCAACATATACTTATTTAACATCTGTGGGGGATTTTCTCCCGGAGCAATGGTTCCTAACCTGACTGTGGGTTATCCTATAAACAGGCGCAAGTCAAACAACGTCTGGCAGAAAATATTCAGCCAGAATTTCTACCATAAATATGCTGTTATAATAATGATGATACATTACAGTTGATGCAATGATGATAATGAGGTAAGTGTATGTACAAGTAATCCCTGTCAGCAAAAAACTGCTTCAAATGCTCTGGTTCAGTTTTTTTTTCATTCTCTTGGCTCTTTATGATGTCACTGAGAGCAGATATCAAGTTATGGTCATCGCACACACATCTCTGACTCTCAGCCCCTCCCACCCGCTGTTATAACTTTCTATTTGCAAGGGGCAGCCAATCAGAAAAAGTTGGATAAAAGGAGAGGCATTGAAACAACTTGTTTTAGACAGTAGATGAACTGAGGAGCTACAACAAGACCAACAACAACAACCCTGCATAAGATAAATAAGCATTATACTGAATTCTGAATCATGCAAAGTAGGGCTGCACAATTTTTTATAAAATAAGAATCACGATTTTTTTTTTGCTTAGAATTGAGATCACGATTCTCTCACGATTTTCTTTTCCAATATAAATATCTTTGGTCAGGTGATAAGTGATAGCCTCCGTAATTTCTTTGTGCCTGCGGGAGTTGGACGGGTATGGGGAAGCGCTGTATAAGGTTCCCGTTATTGATGTTTGGGTGGTTGACTCCTGTCACTTTCTTGGCCTTTACAGCTTCGTCATCTCTCACGTGCTCTCCGTTGTTTTTTCCCTGCCAGCTGACTTCTGTATCACGTGGTATAAGCCTCCGCCCTTGTCATTTGTTGAGCAGGAAGAGTGAGCGCTTGTTTTCATGCAGCTTAAGTCCCGGAACAAAATGCGGTACAATCGTCATCTTTTTTTTCTTTTTTTTTTAAATCGTCGTCATTTCGAAATGAGATCGCACATAAGTATGAATTGAGATTGCGATTTTCTAACGATTAATTGTGCAGCCCTAATGCAAAGCATCTTTAGTAGAATCAAGGGATAAAAATATGGAGCTTGAAATGAGCATAATGGGTTTACTTTAAGAAATTATAAACTCACAAGGGTAAAATATAGCCTTTGGGCCAGACATAGCAAACAGGAAAACAACACCCACGAATCAGCCAGTCGATCAGAGGCAGCATCATGCACAGGAATCTGAAGACCAATGATTGCAGGAAGTCTGTACCGCTGTTTAACTCAATTTCAATGCAGTCTGTTTCATCAGTGATCTATGCAGTGGTATATTTCAGACAACTGGCAAGATGTTAAATATAACCTGGTTTCGATTGAGTTATCCAATGTCTGGCTCTTTGCTTACTTTATTGAAGTCAGTATGGCTCTCTGGGGAGAAATACTGCCTGCCCCTGCACTAACTGAAGGGGTTCATGGCTCAAAAGAGATGCCACAACACTGCTGCCTTTCAGGAAACGTTTATTTCTACAAAAGAACATTTACTTGCAAGTGTTGAACACAAATAAGAGAGGCAGGCAGCAACTCCCAACTCATCTAATAATAAGCGAAACTTCAAAAAGCATCTGAGGAATACCGATGCTGATGGAGGAGAGGCGAGGCTCAGCAGGTGTGCCTCCGCAGACAATCAGCACTAGAAGTGAAGCAGAGAAGAGAGCAGGTTAATGAGGATGCAAGAAAACACTAACCAGATGGCGGATGTGTCGGCCCACTGGGGCATGCGTAACAGGGTGCACAGAGTGGTCATCATTCTCAAAGAGATCATCCGCAAATTCAGAAACAAATTTGTTTTCTCATGCTGATAATTCACATCTTTGACATAGGTTTTAATTAGAACAAAACATTCTTCAGAAAACTTTTAATGAATTAATCAGCGAGATGAGCCGGCGAAGTGATTGTTCCAAATGAAAACCTGCCGCTTTCCAGGCCTCGGTGTCACATGAAGAAACGACACGGCTTTAGCCCCATTGTTGCCCGCCAAACGTCTCGGTTACAACGAACTCTATTAACGCTGCATAACAATTACGTAAATCATATCCTTGGCATTTATCACTGTCATAGTTGTCGCTGTCTGTGTCCTGCTCTGAATAACTACCGTGAAATGAATCAGTCACGCTGACATTTATCACATTTATCACTCGGATTCCGATTTTTCGTTGCTGTTTATAAACCTGATTCACATCCACCCGCATTCATCTCTGCCAGACTCCGTTTGAATGGCACGGCCCACGAGTTTTCACACACAGCAGACTGTTTTGGTTGTGCGTGCGTGGGCGGGTGTGTGTTTAAGTGTGGCCGTGTTGTCGTAAGTACTGCCCTCGGAGTCCTCACCCAGTCTGCAGCGATCGATCTCCTGCAAATCCTGCCAGCTTCATGCTGAGAGAATTTTACAAAAATAAAGACATAAACAGTGGAGCTCATGTCTGAATTCGTTTCCCTTTTTGTAAAATTCATCACAGACTTTGCATTCTTATAGGTACGACTTGTGAAGTTTCTAGAATAACAAAGAATCCAAAAACCCAGGACTGTGATCCCTTCATATTAGAGTTGTTTACTGCGTTAGAGGCTGAAAGGGTTACTTTTATTGAGTTGTGCTGTGTTGGAAGCCAAACAAAATGCTCTAATCATCATTAAAAACCATGTGATGTGATTTCTGGAATCACTGAGTGCAGATGAAGCGTAGACTGAGCCATCAGCTGACTCACATCAACATGTTTTTTATTTCTTCTGTCCCGTCCGTCGTTTTGTTTTTGCTCTCAGCTCAGAATCCGGCGAGACAGCAGTCGCTCCAGGGTGCATGTGTTTCTGTGTGTTCACACTTTTATGAGTCTCTCTGTGTGTATGTTCAGCTTCCTGATCCCAGATCCCCGGTGAGGCTTTTGTGGATTTTACGAGTCTTAGACTTTTGGTCTGGGTTTTTTCAGGGGGGGTGTATGGGTATCTATATCACCAGGGTCCCTGCGGCAGCTGCGTGGCTCTGTGTCGGGGTGCGGCAGGCGTCTCAGGGGGAGTCTGTTTCAGCTCTCCGCCTGTTATTGTGCCACCATCTGCGGTGAATGGAAGGGGGCGCGACCTCAGCTAGGCTACTCATCAAAAGGAGACTCATGAGACAAAGTCAGGGGTGAGATGTGCAAGTGTGCGAGCATGTGCGAGAGGGGGGTGAGGATGACAACACACAGACACACTCCTCTTGTGCTTCCTTCTGTCAGGAAATGGGATGCCAGACTCTGAGAGTCACGCGCACGTCATTTTAGTTTTTATGTTTGGTGGGGAGAACGGTCAGAGGAGGAAACAGTCAATGGAGTGATTGTGACTCCTGCTGCTTTTCCTCGTCTCTTCAGAGTAAGTGATTAGATCTGTGAGGCTGCCGGTGTTCACAGCTGAGAGAGTTTGCAGTGACACAGTGAGTTGTACAAAACTGGGTCAGAAAAGTCAGCGTTAAAGGCGCAAGGTAAAATCTGACTTCAAAGCCGCTCTGTGTTGTCGGTGAGGATGGCAAAGACAAGCTGTCTGGTTTGCTGTCATGTCACATCCGATTCTCATTCCCTCAGAGGACTGCGCTCTTTCACTCTCTCCTTTCCTGTACATAACCCCATCCTCTCATCCCTGATTCTCTCCTGCTTTCTCTTCCTGTCACCTGGGTCAGAGCTGTCAGTATGAATGAGCTGTGTGTGTGTGTGTTGAGTGTGTCTGTTTACTAAGAGAGAAATACTGTGTATGTGTGTGTTTCTATGTGTTTTTTTTTTTTCGGGGGGTTGGACCATCTGCTGGGACAGCTGGGGGAGTATGAGTGAGCTAAAGGCAGGATTTAGGGTATGATCTGCTCCTGCCTCAAAAGATTTAGGAGGATTTTTACTTAAAAGGCAATTTGGGGGGTTTATAATCTTATTGATCACGGCCACAGACTCCTTGCAGAATAAATAGAAGTTTGTACAAAATGTGCAGTTTGTTAACATCCTTCATGCAACTTTTCACATATTAGATGCTTTAAATTGACAGTTTTGAACTGACTTTAACAGAACCTATTGTAAAACTCTCAGTCTGTGGATTGATTTCGATATGAAGGATATAAAATACAAAAATACAACTCTGGCTCACTTAGCCCAGAAATTGAGTTTATTGTTCCTCTTATAGAGGAACATTGTTTATTGTCTGTATATATTAAATATATCAATACTTATTTTATGTAAGATAAAATGAACTTTAATTGCTCGATCAAACTGGTTTGGTCCAAAACCCACCCTGACATCATGTACAACTTATTAACTAGAGCTACCACTCATTCCTTTATATTTTGGTGGGAAATAGGTAGGTGAGTGGGGTGGCTTCTTGACAGCCATTCTTCCACTGAGACCATTACTAATGAGACTTCAAACAGCAGATGGAATAACTGAAGGGCCAGATTCATCTCTCAGGTACTACGTCAGGTTTTTGCTGGCTGACTTTCAGATACTTTTTTTGTTTTTTAGTGCTGCCATTTCTTCTTTTGTCCTCCACATGTCTACATTTCTAATTACGATTTGTTGAGCTATGCCAAGTTTTTGGTTAAAAGCTCTTTGGGAATGACCTTGTTTGTGTAAAAATACAATTTTATACCTGTCAAACTGTGTTACCTTTGGCATTCTTTTAGACTGAGCTAAAGACATGGTGAGATGCGTTTTTGCAACAAGTTCCTTGTAATAAAGTGTTTAAATTGTTTCAGTG